CCTCAGCCTCCTGAGCTGCTGGGATTACAGGCTTGCACCACTGCACTGGCTATATTTGTAACTTAAATAATATACCTTTCTGTACTTCAATTTTTAGTCATGTTTACATAAATTTTTTTTTTCCATTTAAGTGTACAGTTTAGTGGTGTTAACTATATTCACATTGTCATGCAGTCAATCTCTAGAACTTTTTCATTTTGTAAAACAGAAACTTTCTATCCATTAGAAAACTACATTTCCTCCTCCATGGCAATCACCATTCTGTTTTCCATTTCAATGAATTTGACTATTGTAAGTACCTCATATCAGTAGTTCCACAGTATTTGCTTTTTGGTGACTGAGTATTTCATTTAACATAATATTTTCAATATTCATTAATGTTATAATATATGTTAGTTTCCTTCCTTGTTGAGGTTTCTTTTTTGAGAAAAGAAACATAATATTCCATTTTATGTAAGTACTTACTTATCCATTCATCCATCAATGGCCTAGTGCCATCTTTTGGCTCTTATGAACAATGTTGCCATGAATATGGGTATGCAAGTATCTGTTTACGATCTTGTTTTCAATTCTTTTTCATATATACCTAGAAGTAGAATTGCTAGATTATGTGGAAAATCTGATTTTAATTTTTTGAGTAACTTCTGCACTGTTTTTCAGAGTTGATGCACCCTTTTACATTTCTAATGTGCAAGTCTTCTGGATCTCCACATCCCTGCTAACATTTATTTATTCTGGGTTTTTGTTGTTTGTTTTGTTTGCTTTTTCTCTCTTTTATATATATATTTATTTATTTAGGTGTAGATGGACACAACACAATGCCTTTATTTTTATGTGGTGTGAGGATCGAACCTGGGTCCCGCCCCACTAGGCTAGCGCTCTACTGCTGAGCCACAATCCCAGCACTGTTTGTTCTCTTTTCTTTTTGTAATATTGGGGATTGAACTCAGAGGCATTTTACCACTGAGCTACATCCCCAACTCTTTTTCTTATTTGAAACAATGTCTGAGTTGCCCAGACTGGCCTTCAACTTGAGATCCTCCTGCCTCAGCCTCCTGAGTAACTGGAATTACAGGCTGTGTCTCTTATCCCAGCCTCCCTGTTTTTTTTTTTTTTTTTTTTTTGATAGTAGCCATCTTAATGGCTATGAGGTGATACCTCATTTACTTTTAATTTTCAGTTTCCTAATGATTAATAATGCTGCATCTTTCATATGGTTATTGGCTATTTGTGTATCGTCTTTGGAAAGATGTCTGTTCAAATCATCTTTTGCTTATTTTTAAATTGTTTTTTTTTCCCTACTTTTAAAATTTTCAGTTTTAAATAGTGGATTGACACTAGGAGAGAGACATTTTTGAATTTACATTTCTTTTAACTTTTTCCACATCTTGATTTTTCTTTATAAATTTTACATTGTAAAGGTTTAAACATTATCCTATTCTTTAAGTCAAAAATTTTCCCTTAGCCTTTTGTAAAATACATTTATAAGATGAAGTGCCAAGAAGTGTGATTAAATGCTTAGAGAAGGAAAAATAATCTTATGTCAATAAAACATTTTTCTTTTAAAAGTTTCTCTTTGATGTTTTGGGCTGGTATGTTTTCTTAATCATATTTATCCCATCTGTTTTTAATCATCTAGAGTTTTCTCATTCTTTCTGTTCTGCTTCTGGTTCCTTTTTTGTTATTAAGACTTTAGTAATTTGTTGTTTCAGTTTTCTGTCATGTCAGTGGACCCTTAGGAAGAAAGCAACAAAGATATGTTTACTTCAGCTATATTAGAAGTGTTGTATGTTGCTTTTAGAAGGTAGAATTAACTGAAAAAATGAAAAAAGGCAGGGGGGCAGGGCCAGGTATAGAATTCAGTACTAGTGAACTCTTGACTGGTATGCACAAGGTTTACGCCTCAGTACCACTAAAAAAAGAAAAAATGGAAAAAGAAAAGTAGAAAGGGGGCCGGTGTAGCTCAGTGGTAGAGTGTTTGCCTAGCATGTGTGAGGCACTGGGTTCAATCCTCAGTACCACACAAAAATAAATAAAATAAAGGTATTGTGTCCATCTACAACTAAGAAAAAAGTTTTTAAAAGATAGAAGGTAAAATTATTTTTGTCTCTCTAGTGAGGTTTCGCTCCTACTTAGAGTACTGTATGAATATACAATTTTTAAAAATTATTAAATACATATAAATATGCTATTTGCTAGGCATTATTCCAAGTATTACAAATGTTAATTAACTAAACTTATTAATCCTCATTATGTCATCTGAGGTATTATTATTCCTATTTTATAGATGAGAAAATTAAGGCATAAAGAAGTTAAGTAACTCACTTCAGGTCACACACTAGCTGGTAAGTAATAGAGCCTGGATTCAAACCCAAACATGCCAGATCTGGTGGTGCATGCATGTAATCCCAGCAGCTCCAGAGGCTGAGGCAGGAGCATCATGAGTTCAAAGCCATCCTTAGCAATTTAGTGAGGCCCTAAGCAAGTTAGTGAGATCCTGTCTCTAAAAATATATATAAAAGAGCTGGGCATGTGGCTCAATGGTTAAGCACCCCTGGGTTTATTCCCCAGTGCCAAAAACACCCCTAAATATTTTGGTTTTAGATTTCAGAGTTTTAACCACTATATTGGGGCTACCTCTCATATGCCTTTCTGGGATGCTTTTAATTTCTTTGTACTTCCTTAGAGTCCAACATATGACACCTCTCTTCACTGAACATAAACTACTTGAACATCCACTGTGGGTCAGAAGCTGCTTAAGGTAGTGGTAATACAGTATCAGTAAAACAAAGTACCTAATCTTCCCTTGTGTGCCTTTTAAATAAATCTGCAAGATGGGATTCTGTGTGTCTAGTCTGACAGTTACTGTAAAGATTAAATAAGATAAGGGCTTGTTAAACACCTCAAGCATAATAAGTATTATAAGTATTCTGTAAATGTTTATAGAAAAAGAAAACATAATAATAGTGCATTTGTTTGTATTGGGGAACAGGGCTTCACACATCCAGGCAGGTGCTGTACTAGCTACATCCCAGATCTGAAAGTATTTCTTCTGCATTCAGTTGGGTGATATTTGAGTTCCTATTATCTTCTAGTTGTTTACAATTTAGTAGAAGATGTGTTATCAGTATGTGGTGAATTGATGGTAAGATACCTGTTGGACAGTTTAACGGAAGTTTTAGGGCCCATCACAGAGTAGTTTCCCTCATTCACCACCATACACTGAGCCCTAAACTGAGGGAATGTCTGGATTAGACTTGAGTAATTAATATCTTAATGTGTGGGGTTGTGAGTAAATCAGAGTCGGAAGTGGCAGATCCAGTTGAAAATAGAAATTAGAACCAGATTATCAAGAGTTGTAAGTACCACACAGAGTTGAAATTACAAATTTAGGAGATCTCTATATAAACATAGTAGTTAAAACACTGAATGTGAATTAGATTTCAGAGAGAGAATGAATGAATGAATGTGAGAGAAGGTATAAAGAATGTCTTGTGATCAAAGACAAAAGGAGACATAAGTGTTCAGAATGGTAGACAGAGTCAGGGAAGCATATTGTTAAAAAAGCCAAGGCCACAGAGTTCTAAGGGGCAGAAAAATACGAGGTGCTTGGTAAAATAATGATAACCAAGAAAAGACCATTTGATTTCTATTCTTGTTTGGCTTTCTGCTTACCTTTGTAGTATTGAAAGACTTCAGCTGTAACTTTTTTTGCAGATAACTAAAATTTTAATTTCTTATTTCCTATTCTGTGTTCCAACTACCTAAGTTAGTTCACAGTGCTGTCATTTCCATTTATTTATTCTGTGTAGGCTCTGCTTTGGCTACTAGGAGGATTTTGATGAAAAAGTCCTTGCTTTCACCTTTACCAAGCTTATATTTTAGCTGGGACAGATGGTGGACTATAAGCATTTGTAGTGTAGTGGTAGGGAAAATAGGTTATAGAGGTAGCTGGAGCCAGTTCATATGGTTCCCTTGTGAACCCTGCTAAGGACTTCGGATTTTGCTCTGCATGACTATATATGCATTTGAATAGTTTAAAATAGAGGAAGGACATGAACTACATTAATTTTGTAAAAACCTTAGAACACAGTCTGATACATAGGGATCACTATGTAAGTGTTAAATAAAGAAATTTTCAATCTATTTAACTTATATTTGAGAGGATCACTGTTTATTATGTGGAGATTAGGTCATAGGAAACCTTCTGCTGGCTCCTTGGAGAAAACCACAAGCCTGTACTTTAAAACATTTTGTTACAATTTTAAATCTTATAGTGAATATCTGCTCTGTGAATTTATTTAAACTGTCGTTCATCTAATGCTGATCCAAAGGAAATACATATTGTATGTCTCTTCCTATATGTTTTGGGTTACTTACCTTAAAATATGAGTCACTTTAAAACCAATTTTGGCAAACTGTAATTCTTATGGGTAAAAGGTGAAAATGAAGACAGAGAGATCTAGAAATTATGCTGTACAAATAATGATTAACAGATTTATTGGTGGTTAATCTATGAAAGTCAGGCTAGTGGGCATAACACGACAGAAGGGCATCTCTTGGACGAAGGGTAGACTCTTAGGGGAGGGGAGATATGGGACTGGTGTTTAAAACAGATTTCAGTTAAACATAAAGTAGAAGCTTATATAGGGAACCTTTCAAGAGCAGAACAAAAATTCCTCCCGAAGGAGTAAAGGTCTGATAATTAATGTTAAGGCAAAAGTAGGACTGTCATCTGTTAGAACAGCTAGAGTAGGCTTTCTCAATTAGGGGAGATTGAATTAAGGTTTCTCATTAATCCAACATATTTGTCTTAAGAAATTTAATATTGATATTTAAATTTTTCCTTTATAAAACTATAAAGGATAGTTTTCTGGAAGTAGTACATGCTGATGCACACACAAGTTGGTTAAACTTCATCAAGTTATTAAGCATTCAATAATATATAGATTATTATAGTTTAATTCATTTTCAAACTTAAAACTCCTTTTCTTTTTCAGGGATATCATGATAACACACTTTGAGCCTTCCATCTCCTTTGAGGGCCTTTGCAATGAGGTTCGAGACATGTGTTCTTTTGACAATGAACAGCTTTTTACCATGAAATGGATAGATGAGGAAGGTGAGTGGTAAAGAGAGGGCTGCCTGTTAGCATCTGATTTAAGATATTATTCTGCCATTTTGTTTTAAAAATATAATAAAAGTGTTCTAATAAATTTAAGGGAGAAAGGTAGATCAAGAATTTAATATCTTTCTTATTTTTTCTTAAAGTATTTAAAAGAGTACTATAAAGCACAATCTTTGTTTTACCATTTTTTACTCCAAAATGAAGTAAATTTAACTTGATTTTTTTCAGCAGTAAGGTAAATATCTAATCAAATAGTGCAACATTTTCTTTAATTTATAATATAAATGTTGTATCATATTTTAAGAAACTACCTACTTTTAACTGAATGCTACTATAAAATATTATGGAATCAAAGTGATTATGATAACCATTATTTCAAAGTAATGTCAGAAACTTGATACCTTAGTGACTTGTCTTCCAAAGCATTTATAGAATACCAGTGTGCTGAGAATAGATACTTCCTACTCAAACTCAGAGTCTGATAGGGAGATGGATGTATGTATAGCAAATGTGATGAATTCTGGAACATATAAACACAGGTCTTCAGGGAATACAAAAGAAGTCGTACCTATACCTACCTGAAATATCTTCAATGTTTGAACTAAACCTATTACAGAGAATAAAAGTTTTAGGGATGGAGGAGGTTGGGAAAACTATATAGGATAAGAATAAAGTGTAAAAGGGCACAGAGGTATGAAATACATAATTCACAAAAGATCAAGTTATTCACTAAAGATCAAGTATAGGTAGTTACAAACTTGGCCTAGATCCTTATAACTCAAAAGTTGTGATCTGCAGAACTTAACTAGAAAGGGAGGCTCTCAGTCTCCATCTTACTCTGCTGAATTAGAGTTCACATTTTAGCAGGATCCACTGGTGAATTGCATGCATATGCAAGTTTGAGAAATACAGGGCTGGATCTCAAAAGACATTACAAACTATATTAGACTTTATTTTACATGTTAGAGTGCCATCAGAGTGTAATTAAAAGTTACTCTAAATACATTACTTTTGTATAATGGTTTTCTGTTAATTGGAATACAAGTAAAGTTTTATTTTGAGTAATATGATTATAATGTTCAGCTCAATATTTGGAGCCATTTTTGGTATCAGGAGCTCTGGACAGACATTACTCCAGTTCCAGGTTACCAGTAATTCAAATGCATTTTCATTTCTTAAACAAGTTTTTAAAAGTTTCTCTTAACTGTTTTAGGAAAAAAAGTAGTAGAGAGATTTATGAAATTTAAAAGAAAACCTCCTATTTGTCCTTTTTACATCTCCTTCCTCACTAATACTAGTTGTAAAAGAAGAATTACTTGTAACAGCTTATTATATATCTTTCTAGACAATTTCTGTTTTAGTCAGCTTTTTTGCTGCTGTAACTAAAGGATCTGACCAGAACAACTGTAAGAAAGAAAAATCTATTTGAGGGCTCACGGTTTTAGAGGTCTTAATCCATAGAAGGCTAGTTCATTCCTCAGGGCTCCAGGTGAGGGTGAACATCATGGTGGGAGAGGGTGGCAGAGGGAAGCAACTCATATCAAGGTGTTCAGGAAGCACAGAGAGATTCTACTTATCATATATAAATACGTAAACCATAGCAATACCCCAATTCCCACCTCCTTTAGCCATACCCTACCACTTTAGTTTAGGGATTAACTCACTGGTTAAGCTAAGGCTATAACCCAATCATTTCTCTTCCAGATCTTCTTGCATTGTCTCACATGTGAGCTTTCTGGGGATACCACATCTAAACCATAACAGTGTCTGTGCATATATAAATGTGTATGTCTTTTTTTTTGGTACCCGGAATTGAACCTAAGAGCACTTAACCACTGAGCCACATCCCCACTGAGCCACATTCACAGCCCTTGTTATTTTATTTTTTATTTATTTTGGATACCAAAGATTGAACTTAGGGACACTCAACCACTGAGCCACATCCCCAGTCCTATTTTGTATTTTATTTAGTCTCACTGAGTTGCGTATTAGCACCTTCCCATTGCTGAGGCTGGCTTTGAACTCTTGATCCTCCTGCCTTAGCTTCCTGAGCCTTTGGGATTACAAGTGTGCGCCACTACGCCTAGCCCTTTTTATATTTTTTTAGTTTGAGACAGAGTCTCACTAAGTTACTTAGGGTCTTGCTAAGTTTCTGAGCCTCAGACTTTTTTTTTTTTTAATTAAAAAAATTCTTAGTTGTAGATGGACACAATACCTTTATTTTATTTATTTATTTTATGTGGTGCTGAGGAAGGAACCCTATACCTCACATATGCTAAGCAAGTGCTCTACTACTGAGCCACAACCCCAGCCCCTGGCTTTGAACTTGTGATCCTCAGGCCTTAGCCTCCTGAGCCACTGGGATTACAGGCATGTACCACCATACCTGGCACAAATGTATATGTCTTATAAATTATTTATTAACACACTTTTATTAATATAAACTTATAAACTGTTATATACTATTTTCTTTTTACAAGGTGTGTTGGACATTTTTCATTTTAGTGTGCACCCATTCCAATCATTGTCTTTTTTTAAAAATATTTTTCAGTTGTCAGTGGACCTTTATTTAATTAATTTATTTATATGTGGTGCTGAGAATTGAATCCAGTGCCTCATACACACTAGGCAAGCTTTCTACCACTGAGCCATGACCCCAGCCCTCATTGTCTTTTTTAGTACTGCATTGTGCTGCATGTTGTAGGTGCTTCTTGGATTTATTTTTTAATCCCTTATTGATGGACATTTGACTCATTTTTCACTACTATAAACAGTATAATTTATATAGTCATTTGCAGAATGTGTACATCATGAGTTTGTCATCAAAAAATGTTAAACCAATGAATGAAGTTATGTTATGTGCCTGCATGAATGTATCAAAATGCATTCCAATTTTATGTGTAACTATAATGTACCAATTAAAATAAATAAAAGGATGACAGAGTAGAAGAAAGGAATTGGGGAGGCAGGAGGGGAAAGAAAGAGGAAGTACTAGGGATTGAAATGGAGTAAACTATGTTGTATACATTTTTTACTGTGACTCCCATATATGTATAACTATAATGCACTAATAAATATTGTTTTAAGTTAAACCAAATGATAAGCATGTGAGGTAATGCATATGTTAATTAACTTGATTATATCAGAATATCATATTGTACACCATAAATATACAGTTTTTCCTTTTGTCAGTTAAAAAAATTAATTAACAAGAATGTTAAACTGGTTAATGACACAACTACATTACATGAGAGGATCTTTTCATTTTTCCCCTTACCACCTCAGATATTATGAGTTGCTAACATTTCGCAAATATAAGTGAAATGCCAACTTGATATTTAAATTGTGTTATTTGAGAGGACGACTAAGTGTCTTAATCTATCTAATCATTTTTTTACCCACTCTATCCAAGGTTAATTTAAATATAATTAATTATCAATGTCATAGATATCTTCCAGTAGATCTTTAACCTGAAATGAGACTAATAATTTATCACAGTACACAGCATATGCTTTTAATAAAATGCTTCCTGTCATGAACATGAACTAGTGTTATTTTTACTGCTTCTGTCCTGATCATTTCATACATTTGTTTGTATTTTAGTGGGTTTTTTTTGTTGTTATTTGTTGTTTGTTTGTTTTTTTCAGTCAAAGTGTTCAAACTGTAACTCACTTGAAGTCACTAAGTAGTTCTTTGTATTAAAAGAACTTGGTTTAGAGATAATCCATTAAATATTTTTATAATACCTTTGTTCTTTATGTTGTCTTTGCCTGGAAGGTTCTGTTCCTATATTGTCACATGGCTGATCTTTGTCATTTGAGTCTTAGTTATATTATGTCCTTCAAGGAGCCTTATTCTCATTCATACCTGTTTCTTACCCTGTTTTTTTTTTGCCCCCCCACCCCCACTTTTTTTGGGAGGTGGGTACCAGGGATTGAACTCAGGGCCACTCAACCATTGAGAACATCCCAGCCCAATTTTGTATTTTATTTAAAGACAGGGTGTTATTGAGTTGCTTAATGCCTCACCATTGCTGAGGCTGGCATTGAACTCGTAATCCTCCTGTCTCAGCCTCTGGAGCTGCTGGAATTATAGGCTGTGTGTTACCACCCTGCCCACCCCCCCCCATTTTTGTTTTTAATTGATAGTAGAATATAGACTCCATGAGAGCAGAAATCTTACCTGCTTTGTTCACCATGGAACACCAGGGTCTAGAGCAGTACTTAATAATAGTGTGTTCAAAAAATATTTGCAATTTGTACAAAAGGTTAGTAGCAACCTTCCCCAAATTTGGTTTTACTTCAGCTATTGTAGACTTAAGCATTGGAAGTTGCTGTTCATTCTGATATTTTCTTAAGCTAGTATTTTAATTTACAGATTTATGAGGTGAATTAAATTAATTCTTTGAAATAGACTTCTTATAATGCAATTCATAGTTCTCTCTCCTCAAATCGCTATTGTGTGTTCTAATTTCTGGGTGAGACTATGGAACTGTAGCCTTTGCCTTGCTTACATTAAAAGTTAAATTTTCTGTATGTGATCTTTAAATTCTGATACCAGTTTTTTCTTAATTTTAGGCACACAGAGGCAATAGTAATAATTATTTTTCACAATTGCAGTTATTTTTCATTTGTAATTGTATCACCTTTATTGTTGTTAATCATGTAGGCATTAGGGCGTGCTAATCTGTAGGGAAAATTTTTTCTCTAGGATCAGTCAAAGACAGTACTATAATTTGATTTCTGTAACATAAAAAACATCATTCTTGAAACTAAACATTTAATTGTGGTGTATTATGTTGGAGTATATGAAGATCATAAGCTCACTTCATCTTTCTCAACAGATTTAAGACAATCACCTTTTGACCTGTTACTTAAAACCAGTTTTACTGATTTGTTTTGATGTGAAAGAACTGTCTTGACTAATTAAGTAAACGTTTTTGAAGGATTGTCATTTTGTAAACATCATTCTCCCCTCCCCCATCCCATAATACTATTTTTTTAAAAATTATTTTTAATATCTTTATTTCATTTATTTTTTATGTGGTGCTGAGGATCAAACCCAGGACCTTGCACATGCTAGGCGAGCGCCCTACCGTTGAGCCACAACCCCAGCCCCCCCCCCATACTATTTTATTTTATCTTATTTACTGTGCTGGGGGTCAAACCCAGGTACTCTCATTCTAGGCATGTACTCAGCCACAGAGCTATACTCCAAGCCTGTCATGTGCCCATGTATCTGTTTTTAATTTTTGTTTCATATAATTTGTTATATATATTTTTTAGTTATAGATGGACCCAATGCCTTTATTTATTTTATTTTTATGTGGTGCTAAGGATCAAATCCAGTGGCTTATACTTGTGAGGCAAGTGCTCCACCACTGAGCTACAACCCCAACTCCCATGTATCCTTTTTTTTTTTTTTTGGAAGTTCTAGGGATTGAACCCAGGGCCTTCTTCACATGCACATGCTAGGCAAGTGCTCTACCCCTAAGCTGTGTAACTTTGATCCCAAGTTTGATCACAACTGAGTGAATTTAGCCTACTGGCTTATTTTTTTAACTGGAAGGATACTTTGTATGCTTACTAAAATGTGAGACTTCTGTTATTCTTTCATCTGCTGCTTCTCTGTTTAACTTTGTTTTGTAGTTAAATATAATTCTGTAGACACAGAAGTTGTTTGTTTGTTTGTTTATTTTGGTAGTTGTAGATGGGCAGCATGCCTTTATTTTATTTGTTCATTTGTATATGATGCTGAGGATCGAACCCAGTGCCTCACACATGCAAGGCAAGTACTCTGCCACTGAGCTGTAGCTCTAGCCCCAGAAGTTGTTTTTTAACCTATGTGTAAAATGAAATGTAATTACTGACTTACTTTCTCTCTCTCTCTCTCTCTCTCTCTCTCTCTCTCTCTCTCTCTCTCTTTGGCATAGTAATAGGGTTGAACTCAAGTCCTCATGCATGTTAGGCAAGTATTCTACCACTGAGTTACATCCTCATCCTTTTTAAAATTTCATTTTGAGACAGGTTCTCACTTAATTGCGAAGTTTAGCCTTGAACTTGTGTTCCTTCTGCCTGAGCTTACCAAGTAGCTGGGATTATAGGAATGCACCACCTGGGTGTATTGATTTTAATTTATGTGACAAAATGGAAGAAATTTGTATAACTGAAGAAGTGAATCTTTGTAAAAGAGTGACTTTATTTCTTTTAGGCAAGGTGAAACAACTTTTGTAAACTTTCCTAGACTAGAATGCTAATTTGTTATCTGGTTTACTTAAAACAACAACAACAGAAACACTGAAGTAGCCACTTAGTGGTGCAGGTCCTTAATCCCATCTGTTTGGAAACTGAGGCAGGAGGATCACAAGTTGGAGGCCAGCCAGGGCAACTTAATAAGACTGTCTCAAAATAAAACATTCTGGGAATATAACTCAATGGTAATGTGTCCCTGGGTTCAATCATTAGTTCCAATTTTTTTTTTTAAATTAATAAGGGATAGGAATATAAATAGGGTAGAGCTTTTGCCTAGCTTGCACAAGCTCCTGGGTTCAATACCTACTACTGCAAAAAAAAAAAAAAAAAGCTAGTTTGGGCTTTCCATTATTCATCAGTTTATTGAATACCTACTCAGTGCAGACTGTGTTAGGTAGATACTATGAGGAATAAAAAATGAATATAGTTAACTAAGAAGGATTAATAAAATAATGTTCAGAGAAGATGAAAGGAAGTAGGGATTCAGTGACCAAATTGGAGAAAAGTACACAGGCACACTTTTCTTCCAGACAGCTGGAAAGGAAATGAGTTCATTTCTTAATTTTTCTCTCAAGTAGTAGGCAGAGTTCTCTGTCATGAATGACTGAGTTTGGGATATGGTTGATGGCAGATGGCATCTAGTGCATAGTGAGGTTTAGTTTAACACTGGAATGAGCAGAAGAATGGTACAGTGCAGGCCTCAAAATTCCTTCTAATGACTCCTCTATTAAGGAATGTCATTGCCCATGAAAATGTGCCACCTCTTGATTACCAGTTGGCTAAGGGACATGTTCCTTCCTTTCTCCATTTCAATGTTTACTAAAACTGTGCATTTATATTTAAAAGCAGCTCAAGTGGGGCTTTTCTTAAGTTTAGAGTACTTCAGTTATGAAAGAAAAATTGACAAAATGATTCCATGGAGACCTCTAACCATATTGTGGTAATGGAACTACTTTCACTTCTGATAAAGTAGCTTGCTCTGGACCATTTCCATTAATCATACTGCAGTGACAGTTTGAAATATGGTCAAATTTTGTTTGGTGCATTTTGAATATTAAGAACAAAATGGCTTATATGTATAAAATGTTGTCTTTGTGAGCCTTATATAATATTTTCTACAAATGGAAATGGAAGTTATGTCACCTACTTCAGAGAATAGAATTGTCTAAATAAATAGCAAAAGCTCTGTCTTTATCATATATTTCCCAAAATATTATATTATGGAATTTGTTTACTAATCATCACATTTGGAGACTTCAAAAATTGAGCTTTATTTCTTATATTTTTTAGGAGACCCGTGTACAGTATCATCTCAGTTGGAGTTAGAAGAAGCCTTTAGGCTTTATGAGCTAAATAAGGATTCAGAACTCTTGATTCATGGTAAAAGAGTAATCATTTCATACTCTTCCTGGAGTTATTTATTTATTTTTTTAAGAAATGACCCTTTATTATTGATCATTTTTTAAACACAATCCTGATATAATTTTCTTAATCTCTGTGCCTTATTCATATGTAATTGTCTTTTTTCAGTAGTTTCTCAAATGGTAGAAAAAGTAAAATCAATCTGCTTCTTATAGTCTTGGGAAATTTGTTACCTGTATATGCCTTCTTGGATGTTAAAATATGATCTTCCAGGGTCTTCACAGCAGTCTTAAGATAGGTTGTTGAGATCCTAGTAGACCATTTATTATTTTGCTCATCTTTTTCTAGTATAAAATTATAACAAATGCTTTAAAAAAATTAACTTATTTCAGCTTTTAAAAATATGTAATATTAGAAATTGAACACTTACTGTATTCCATGCTCTTATTAAATAAACTTGTGTCCTTTAGTACATCATAGACTATAGTAGCTGATAAGTTCATAAATATACTATTGCTTTTTATTCTACCTCATTATAGAAATGGTCTGATTTAGTATTTTTATAAACTTATAGCTCCTAATATGAACTTACATTTTTGAATTTTTGGTACTGTTTCTAGTATTACTTTATTTCTAAATTTACTTGACATCTTTAAAAATAACTCTGGTATTTTGTTTCATATTTGTATGTATTTTTATAACTTAATTCTTCATGGTAGCAAAGTTATCACTAAAACAAGGATTTAAGGAAGTACTAGTTAATTTCTTTAAGGACAAAAAGAATAATTAGTAATGAGAGATTGGATTTAGTAATTTGAGTTTCTAATGCCTTGTTAATAGACATATTTGCTTTTATAAAAACTTCTTTTATACAACCTTAGTAATTTTATATAATTCATATGCTTTAAATATGCTGTTAATTAATTTTCTTTTCTTTCAGTATTCCCTTGTGTGCCAGAACGTCCTGGGATGCCTTGTCCAGGAGAAGATAGTAAGTGTTTGTGTACTTTTTACATTGAAAAGAGTTATTTATGTGATGGCACAAGTCCAAAGAAGTCATAAATAGAACTTTTAATTAATTTGATTTCTTTTCCATTTTTTCAGTCCAATTTAGAATATATTAGTGACTGCCTATGTTCTTCTTTTGCCAGATGAAATTCAGATAATTAATTACAACTCACATACTTGTCTGTTGTACATATAAAAGGAAAACTAAGTTAAATTTTAAGTCATGTGGCTTCATGTTTTTTAATTTTGGAAATTTTCAAATCTAAGAAAACAAGAATACCATATATCCTTTGCACAAATTTACCAGTTATTTGTATTTTCTCTGATCGCTTTACCTCTGTGCCTCTGTGTAAATATATGCACACACACATATATATTAACAAGCACACATTTGTTTTATTTTTATTATACCATATGATAGTAAGTAAGTGACATGACTCTTCACCTCCGAATACTTCAGCTTGTTTCTTAGTAATCATTATGGAAATTCTTTTGAGTGTCTAAGCTGATGATTATATTTGGATTGTTTTTATGTTGCTGGGACTCAAACCCATGACCTTTCACTTTGCTCAAAACCAGGGATACATTCTACCACTGAGCCACACCTCCAACCCAGATGGTTATTATTAATAAGATAAAATGAAGGAATCAACTATTGTTTGTTCTGACATAATTTACATATGCAAACTATTTTACTGTAAGTTACTACTCTTTGGTATATGGTATAATGCATTAATTATGGATATTAGCTCATTTTCATTTATGGTTTCTGCTTTCTGTACATATCTGTGACTTCAGAAGAAAAATAGCAGTGAATGTTTTACTTTGAATTAAGTGAAATTTCAAGGTCTGAAGTTCTAATTCTGTGACTTCATACTCCATAGTAAAAGGGGAAAATTGAAAAATTTTGGGTGTTAATATATGGGGTTAAATGGGATCCATGTACTGTATAAGAAGATGGGGTGACTGGGGTTGTGGCTCAGTGGTAGAGCACTTTCCTGGCATATGTGAGGCTCTGGGTTCGATCCTTAGCACCAAATATAAATAAACAAATAAAGAAAAAATCCATTGACAACTAAAAAATATTAATTAAAAGAAGAAGAGGAGGAGGATGGGGAAATTAAAAAAATAGGTGGAACCTTGAGGCAGTTGTTAAAAATGCACATTTGGATTTAACTAGAAATGTTTCTCTAGGGTTCCAGGTGCAGAATGATTAAAGCCACATAAGCTACCTTCACCCAGCTGGATTTCTTTGTCCAAAGCCAGAATTTCAAATTACTTGCCATTGTAGAAGATCTTCCTGATTCCAGAGTCCCATCCTCATCCAAGTCTATCATAAATCTGTAGCATGCTTCCCAGATAAAATATAATTTCCCAGCTTTTATTATAGTTCATGCTTAATTTCCATCTTTACATTTACTGGTGGAGATTTTTACATCACCCCTCCACCAGTAAAATATATATTACTAAACTAGGGCATGGAGGAAAACTGATGAGGTCTCTTGGCCCTTTTAATTCTCAGGCAACATTAAAATGCTTAAGGTATGTCAAGGTAGTTCAAAAAAACTTCTGAAATGGAATGTTCTTTCAGGTTAAAATATTATTAACAGAACTGTTCTACTTTGGCTATTGCTAGCAATATAATTAAAGCAAATGCATCTGTATTTAAGGTTATGCTATCTGAAGATTTCTAATTCAGAGTATTACAACTGGTCTTTTCTATTTTAATGTGAAATAGTGAACTCAATGCGACATTTGCTTTAAAATATGAATTTAGACCCAGTGGCTCTGGAAACTGAGACAGGAGGATCATAAGTTCAAAGCCAGCCTTAGTAACTTAGCGAGACTATGAGCAAACTTAGTGAAATCTGTCCGAAAATAAAGAATAAAAAGGGTTAGGGATATTACTTAGTGGTTAAGTGTCCCTGGGTTCAGTCCCCAGTACCAAATAAAAATAATAATAATAAAGAATTTAGAAACTTAATTAATCTTTCCCTAGTATTAGCTATAGAGGTGAAATGTTATGACTAATGACTAATAGACAATATATGTGATAGTCTTAACCAAAATTATGGTGGCCTGGACTGGACAACTTGTGGAACCTTTTTCTCTAAGTGTGTTTAAGAAAAGCATTAACATAAAACTGTTGGATAAAAGTTGTTGGGGAAGAAGATACTCTTGTGGTTACAAAATATCAAATTGCTTAGGTAAAATACTGTCTATTCTGGTTTCTCTTTGTGTAAATCTTTCACCTTTTCACAAAGCAAAATGTACCTTTACAATGTAGAGATCTGCAGTCGCTACATTTAACAGTGTAATGTAATGGGAGGCTACATTCTAACATTTGTGTGCCTCTTGATGTACTGCCATAAGAAATACACATCATCTATATGTTATTTTTTGGCCAAAAGTATTTAATACTGACCCATGAGGAAATAGACAAACCCGGAATATAAAACGTAAGACAACTAAAACTCCAAAAAAAAAAAAAAACATGAAAAAACTAAAATATATAAGACAGAATGAATGTTTTATAATAAGGGATTAAGAAAAAAAAATGAGATGCCTGATTCTTGATTAGAGCCTAGATAGAAAAAGAGTTTTAAAAGACACTTTTGGAGCAATTAGGAAATTTTTATATATGAACTCTATATTGGGTGATACTGAATTAATGTTAATGTCTAAGACATAGGAAAGATACTGTGGTTATGAGAATGACCTTAATCTCAGGCAGTGAGTAGTTAGTTAGTTAAGGGTATTTAAGCTTTATGATGTCTGCATCTGGACTTCCAAATGTTTGAGGGAAGAAAATAAATTATATTTTTTATAGAGAGGAAAGCAAAGGTGACATAACATTAATAATTGGTAAAGCTACAGAGTGCAGGTTTTGTGTTTCAGCTTTCTGTGGGCTTAAAGTTTTTTTTAAAATAAAAACGTTTGGGTTGGGTGCAGTGGCAGATACCTATAGTCCCAACAACTCTGGAAGCCTAGGGAAGAGGATCACAGGTTCAATGCCAGTCTCAGCAATTTAGCAAGGCCTTAAGCAGTTTAGCAAGACCCTGTCTCACAAAACAGAAAGGGCTGTGGAGGTGGTTCAGTGGTTAAGCACCCTTGAGTTCAATCCCTCTACCAAAAAAAAAAAAACAACCTTGGGGTACATTTAAAAAAAAAAAAAAAAAGCAATAGTAATAATTGCAACATTTATACCGCCTGGTCTTTATTTTCATTTAGTTTTGAAGAACATGTTTTACTTTTTCAGTTAATGGTTTTTATCAGTATATATTTTTTTCCTGTAGTGAATATCATGAAAAAAAAATAACAAACTTAATTATAAAATTACTTCTATTCATACTTGCTCTTTTTTTCTTTTCTTAACTTTTAACCTCTTCAGAATCCATCTACCGCAGAGGTGCCCGTCGCTGGAGAAAGCTTTATTGTGCAAATGGCCACACTTTTCAAGCCAAACGTTTCAACAGGGTAAATTTAGTTTGTTGGATGTTGGTAATTTGAGACATCTTTTTTTTTTTTTTTTTTTTTTTGTCCCCCTATGAAAGTTAGTTATTTTGTCCCTAAATCTTTTAGTCACTTTTGAAAAAGTAGCAGAGCCTTACATTCCCAGTTTAACTGGGGTAGTATACCTGTATTTTTAATAGCATATCCTTTTGTACTTTGTTTTTTTCTTTTTCAGTGTTGAAAGTTCAACCCAGGGCTTTGACATGCTAGGTACTCTACTGTTGAGCTACACACCTAGCCCCTTTCACTCTTAAAAATGCTCCAAGTTGGGCTGGGATTGTGGCTCAGTGGTAGAATGCTTGCCTAGCATGTGTGAGGCACTGGGTTTGATTCTCAGCACCACATATAAATAAATAAAGGTTCATCAACAAATAATAAATTTTTTTAAATGCTCCAAATTAGTTTATTAATTATTTTAAAATATAATCCAAACAAAACAAAATGTAATTCAAGACAGTTCAGAAAATTATCAAGGTTTGTTTTGCAAACCATTTAATGTTGTAATTTAATTTTCATTGTTTAGAAAATAAATAGCAAATGCTTATCTAGCTTTTATACTATATCAAGCAGTTTTTAAAAATATTATTGTTCCCCACATTTTTTTATTGGTGAATTATGGTTGCATATAATGATGGGATTTGTTGTTACACATTTATACATGCATACTATATAACAATATAATTTAATCAATATCAATCCCCAGCACTTGCCTTTCCCCTACCTCTCACCCCTTAGTCCCTTTCCTGTACTGATCTTCCTTTGATTTTCATGAGATCCACCTCTACCTTTTTTTTTTCCCTTTTCCTCTCTAGCTTCCACATATGAGAGAAAACATACATCCCTTTACCTTGAGTTTACTTATTTCACTTAACATAATGGTCTCTAGTTTCATTTGTTTTCCTACAAATGACATAATTTCATTTTACTTTGTGGCTGAATAGAACTCGTGTGTGTGTGTGTGTGTGTATGTGTGTATGTGTATGTGTATGTGTATCACGTTTTCTTTACTCATTTATCCATTAATGGACACCTAGGCTGGTTCCATAGTTTGGCTGTTGTGAGTTGTGCTGCTATAAACATGGGTCTGCATATATTACTGTGGTATGATGACTTTCTTTTTTTATTCATTTTTAAAATTTGTTCTTTTTAGATATATATGACAGTAGGGTATATTTTGAATTATATCAGGCAATTTTTCCAGTGCTTTTATGTATATTCATTTAATCCTTATAACAACTCTATGAGATAACTAGTATATAATTTAATTTTGTAGATGAGGAAAATGAAATGTAGGGCAGTTAAGTAACTTGCCCAAGATGACACAGCTAGTAAATGGTAGAGTCAAGGTTTGAAAGCAGTCAGACTGTCTCCAGAAGACCATGTTTGTTTGTTTATAATATTTTTTAGATGCTGATGGACCTTTATTTTATTCATTTATTGTATATGTGGTGCCAAGAATCAAACCCAGTGCCTCGCACATGCTAGGCAAGCACTCTACCACTGAGCTACAACCTCAGCCCAGAAGACCATGTTTTTAAATTTTTTGTAAATACAAATTTATGGACTTAATTTCTATTCTGAAATTAATGTTATGTACTAAATTAATTAAAATTCATGAAATTATAAATTCATGAAAATAGAAACAGCTAGCTGGGATCCCAATAGCACTGATATTAAAAATGTCTAACAAATGAAAAGTCACTTCAGGTATTGCTGTTCAAGTACACAAGGCTGTGAGCCATAGTGGTGCATGCCTATAACCCAAAAACTAGGAAGGCTGAAGCAGGATGATGGGAAGTTTGAGGCTGGCCTCAGCAATTTAGCAAGACCCTGTCTCAAAATATAGATAAATATGTAGATAGATTTATAGACAGATGGATTGATCAATCTGGGGATGCATCTCAGTGGTAGAGCACCCCTGGGTACATTCCCCAGTGGTGGAGTGGGGAAGCAGGGCTTTGGCCCTGTGTGGTGGCTCATACATATAATCCCAGCCACTCAGGTTAAGGCTGGAGAATTGTAAAATATGAGGCCAAAACAGGACTTTAATTTGACCCTTGACAGTATGAAAAGTCTTATGGTTTTCAATTTAATTCATTGTTTCTGCTTTCATTACTATGACTTAATTATGAAAATTTTTTGACCTTAATAACAAACAGCAACATGATTGCACACGTCACTATCTCCTTAAAACAAGCTCCCTTTCCTGTTTCTCTTTCACTGAACTTCATAGCTTTTGAAAAATTATATGTAAGGAAAGTTTGTTTTGTTTTTTCATGTGCTGACAATTAACACCATGATGAAGAGAATTGAGTTGAAGAAAAAAACCACTTTCACTCTTTTATGAGCAAACTCTTGGTAATGATTATAACCTTTTTTTGTTTGTTAATAAAATACTTTTGGCAGCGTGCTCATTGTGCCATCTGCACAGACCGAATATGGGGACTTGGACGCCAAGGATATAAGTGCATCAACTGCAAACTCTTGGTTCATAAGAAGTGCCACAAGCTAGTCACAATTGAATGTGGGCGACATTCTTTGCCACCGGTAAGACACAGTTGTCTTTTTTTTTTTTTAAATATAGTATGCTTGATAAACTATGAAAACAAGGTTAACAAGATTTTGGGCTAGGGTAGTAACTCAGTAGTAGAGCTTTTGCCTAGCATGTGTGAGGCACTAGGTTTGATCCTCAGCACTAAATAAAAATAAGTAAATAAAATAAAGATAGTGTGTCCATCAGCAACTAAAAAAATATTTTTTAAAAATAGGGAGATGTTAAAGAACATCTCAAAAAATTGTTAGTGTGGGTAGGAACACTTTACATTCCACTTGATATATTGTGAACTTTGTAACTTTTGAAATACTTATGATAATATTTATTTGTAGGATGTAGTTTTCTTTTTTGACCTATAAAATTCTCTGATTCGCTGGTTAAGATATAGGAAGAACTATTTAAAAGACTTTTTTCTCTTCTTTAAATTCTTTACTTTATAGCTCCCATTATTCTATGCTTAAGCAAAAGAGTTAGGAGTATCTCGTTTGCTATTTAAAGTGTGGGATTACTGGGGGAAAAAAGCATTTAAAATTTTGATTTTTCTCTTCATGTTTTACCTATGAATTAAGGCACACTGAGACAAAATAGAGAATGCAGATGAATACAGGAAAAATTTAGTTAAAAATTCTCATAGGCCAGGGTTGTGGCTCAGTGGTACGGTGCTTGCCTAGCATGCATGAGGCACTGGGTTCGATCCCTGAAACCACATAAAATTAAAAATAAAGGTATTATGTCCATCTACAACTAAAAATAAAAATTAAAAAAAATATTCTCATAAATTCTGCCATCTAAAGGTAATTGTCTTTTGAGCTATATATTTCCAAAAATTTTCTTATGCAAATTTATTTACATGAGCATTTTCAATTTTTATATATGAAAAATATATAAACATATAAGCATAGGTGAAACCGTACAATGGTGGGTGGATGGAGCAGTCCCCCAGCCTTAAAAGTTAACACTTAATGATCAACTTTATTTTCATCTATTTCCCCCACTAAACGTTTCCTTGCCCAGTGTTATTTTGAAACTTATATATTTCAGTATATACTTCTAAAAGAGGCTTTTTAAAAATATCTAACTAGAAAAAACAAATTTCTTATTTCAAATATCCATCCAGATAATGCTCAAAATTTCAGTTGTTCCATTAGTGTCATAATTTTGGTTTTTGTTTTCATTAGGAATCAGGATTAAATTGTAATTGATTCATATCTCTTAGATATTTTTAAATTTACTAGTTCATCCCCTGTCCTTTTTTTCCTTATAATTTTATTGTAGAAGACTAGTACTTATCCAACAGAAGGCATGTGTATTGAGTGTCTCTTTTATATACCTTTTAACAAAAGTGAGGTCATATGCATCCTATTTTTTAACCCATTTTTCTCACTGAACAATATAATCTGGTCATCTTTCTATGTGTATTTATAGCTAGTATAAATACACTTCTTAGCATAGTAATTTGTTACATGTCTCTTCTATAATTTATTTAACCTGTGGTTGATTATAACTTACTTTCCTGGGGTTGAACCATTAGGGTTGTTTATAAAGAAAATCATGATGAACTGCATGATAAATAAATCTTATTTCCTTAAAGATCCAGCAACAGAATTACTAGGTTAAAAGAAATGCATTTTTAGAAGGAATAGGATGCATCTTTCTAAATTGTCCTCTACAGTGATTATATCATGTTTATTTATTGGCCTTCTTTGGACATTTATTGAAAGTAGGATATTACTGTTAGCTCTTCAGTATTGGAATTATGGAGTGAGTTCATAGAAGTTTAGGAATGGGTTTAAAGTTAAGGTGGGGGGGAATCCAATTTTAAGGAAAATCAGAAGGCTACAAATTATAAACATAATTTTCCTGGTTCCTAATGATATTCCTGAGTATTCCTAGGTGATAAAAAGACTTGTGTGTTCATACATGTAGAAGAAAGAGGGACAGTGTTATTGTTACTTTAAGATAGAGGTTGAATTTCTTCAAAAATCCATACCCTTCAAAGCCTGTCATTAAGTAGTTTTAAAATTATAATTGTGTATCTAATGTTCTTCCTCAAGTTTACTTCTTCCTGCATTAAATTTGAATATAAGATTAACAAATTAGTAACAACTTTGGTTTGAATTAACATTGTTCCTGAGATTATTTGCAGATGGTTGTTGGTTAAGTCAGTTTCTAGAAGGTATTTCCTTTCCTTTTTTGGGCCACTGACACCTTTAAGAATGTTCAGAAAAATGGGAAACCTATAAAATAAAACATAATTTTAAAGAGTTTATAAATATCTTGAAAACTATCTCTGGACCTCAACAAAGAACTCATATTCTAGAAATATCTTGCCAAAGACTTAAAGTGGAATTCAAGAAAGAAAAGATAATGTAGAAGAGAAACAAATCAGAGTGCATAGGAGTTTAATTTCCAATCAATGGTTTGAATTAGTTTTGTTTTGTTTTTTTTGTAAAATGTGACTAACGTTATCTCATTCACAGGAATGTTATAGGGTTTTATAAAACACTACTAGATATAATAACAACTGTCACCTAAGGTTTATTCTTTCAAATTTAAATTTTAATATTCCTCATTGAAAAAAAATGTTGTTTCTGAATTTATAGAAATATTGGAATTTAAAAAGAATCTACTAAGTATGTCTTTGGAAATGTTTATAGGAACCAATGATGCCAATGGACCAGTCCTCCATGCATTCAGACCATCCACAGACAGGTAAGAATGAGGCTCACATGAACCATTTTTCATAAACAAGGTAGTATTTGAAGACTTCTACCCAAGCTCAAAAACATTAATATTCTTCTCTAGCAATAGGAAATAAGCTTATTTTGTGGTGGTAAGTTTAGTCATAATATCTATTTAACCATATAGTTTACATAAATATTTTAGATATTTGTGTAAAATCTTAAGAAATAACTTATTTTTCTAATTCAGATACATTTCTTTTTGAGACTCTTTTACATTCATCAAACCTAGTTTGTTTTTCACCATGAAAAAATTTAAAGCAGATTTTGTGGACCATATTGACTGTATTCAGGTGACCTATTTTTATTCCAAGCCTTATTAGCAGAAGTAGATATTATGTAGAAGATAGAAATGCAGTTATAGGAAATCTAAAACTATGCTGTGAGTAAAAATGTTAAATAGGAACAAAACCTTAAGCACAGATCTGAGAAATTTGGAGAGCAATTAAATGGGATACAGCAGCATGATCTGGTCTTTATTCAATTAAAAAAAAAAAACATGAAAAAGGAAGATAGGAGTTTTTCTGGAAAAACAATGCAGTCTCTTTCTCCTGAAGCTATGAAATGTAGGGCCTTTTCCCCCAGTTGCTTTAAGGAATAAAAGCCCAGCATTATCATTTCTTTTTTTTCTTTTTTTTTTTTTTATTGGTTGTTCAAAACATTACAAAGCTCTTGACATATCATATTTCATACATTAGATTCAAGTTGGTTATGAACTCCCAATTTTACCCCAGATACAGATTGCAGAATCACATCGGTTACACATCCACATTTACATAATGCCCTATTAGTAACTGTTGTATTCTGCTACCTTTCCTACTTTAGAAAGTCAGTGACATTTTTGAAGTGTGAAAAAAGTAAGAAAAAAGACTGCTGTGCTTCAGTCATACTGAAAGATTTAAATACGGTTTTTGAGTCAGCCATATACAAGGAATTTCTTGATTAATTTGTAAAAAAAAAAAAAGAGAGAGAATTGTTTAAAAAATATTTATTAGAGCAATACTTGGCTACCAAGTTGGTGCTTTCTCTCTCTACCTAAAGATTAGGATTTGACTCTTAAGTTTATATATAACATGCTATTAGTAGGACAAGTATTCAGATTTAAATGATAAAAACTTACTCAGAAGAAAAAAACTCAAAAAGAAGTGCAAACTCATAATCATCAAAAGAAATATTTATGTTAAAGTACTTTAATTGTGTTTCTTTTTAATTCTTGGGTTTGGATTTTTAGTAATTCCATATAATCCTTCAAGTCATGAGAGTTTGGACCAAGTTGGTGAGGAAAAGGAGGTAAGATAACTTGTTATATTATAAATACACTATTTCAGTAGCTTTTTTTTTTTGGGGGGGGGCAGTGTTGGGGATTGAACCCAGGGCCTTATGCATGCAAAGCAAGCACTCTACCAACTGAGCTATATCTTCAGCCCCTCAGTAGCTTTTTAATAAGATACAACAGTTTAGAAATATAACACATTGGCTTAGGTATTAGATGATAGTGATAAAAGACAAATGGTTTTTAATAATTTGAGAATTTTATTCTGATTTAATTTGGTAATTAATTTAAATTAGGAAATAGTTTGGGAAACATTTTCATTTTAAAATAATCTAAAAATCACAATGTATGGTATTTAGAATACTTGGTAATATTAGAATTATTGATTCTTTCAGTTTGTCAACTAATTGCTTATTTTAAATACAATTAAAATATCTTAACTGCCACTATTGTTTTCTATTAATTAAGCATTTTATCAGTTTTTAAAACAGAACAAATTCCTAATTTAAATTTTTTTGGTTTTTTTTGTGCTACGGGCACTCAAACACTGAGCTATATCCTTACCCCTTTTTTATTTGTTTAATTTTATTTAGAGACAGGGTCTCATTAAGTTGCTTAGGGCCTTGCTAAAATGCTAAAGCTGGCTTTAAGCTTGAAATCCTCCTGCCTCAGCCTCCTGAGCCAATGGGATTATAGGCATGTACCACTGCACACAGTTAGAAAATATTTAAAATAGTAACCATTTATTTTTTTTAAAGTGTGTAGTGCAAATCATTATTGTGGCTCACCCCTTCTAAGTTTGACTTCTTAGAGTAACCACTTTTTAGCCATAATTTTGTGTGTGTGTGTGTGTGTGTGTATGTGTTTCCCCGTTGAATGTTTATATCTCTGTTTTTTGGTTTTTGAAGTTTATGTATTTCTGGACATAAAAAATTTAGTTCACACTTCCTCCTCCTTTTCTTTTTAGTGTATGATAGGCGTATTATATTTTGCTCTTCTCTTGGTTACCTTTTGAAAAAAACAACTGTGCTGAATGACAGGATTCCTCATGCCCAAAATCCAACTACTTGGGAGATGGGAGTCAGAAGGATTACAAGTTTCTGGCCAACTTGGGCAACTTTTAGTGAGACCCTGCCTTAAAATAAAATTTTTAAGAAAGTGCTTGTGGAGAATGATATTGGCCAAATTATATTGTTATATTGTGTGCATGTACAAATATGTAACAATAAATGTATAACTATAATGCACCAATAAAAAAGAATGGGGGAATAAAGATTTGGGGTGGGAACTCAGTGGTAGAGCACTTGCTTAGCATGTGTGAAGCCTGTGTTCAATCTCCAGTACCACCACAGCAGTCAATAAAATCTAACTTTTTATTATGGAAAATTTCAAACATAAAGTAGGCAGAATAGTATAAGAAAACCCCTGTATCCATTACCCAGTTAAAATAATTAGTATTACATGGTTAGCCTTCTTATCTACCTGCATTTTTTGGTACATTATAATTACGTATAACAGTGGGGTTCTTTTAACCATATTCATACATAACATACAATTTGACGAATCTCATTTCCCTGAACCTTCCTTTCCCTCCCCTTCTCCTTCCTTCTAATCCTCTTTCTGGACTTTACAAATATTCCTTCTATTATTATTATTTTAATTAGTATATTTTATTTATATCTATTATCTATAACAATTTATTATTGTATCTTTATACATGAACATAGTATAATTTGGTAGATTTCATTCCCCAATGTTCCCATATGCCCTCCTCTCCTCCCTCCCTTTGATTCCTTTCCTCTACTCTATTGGACTTCTGTTTTTGTGATATTCCCCCCACTTTGTTAAAAATATGTATCTGCCCAACACACAACACCAGCTTCTTCATATGAGGGAAAACATTTGATCTTGACTTTCTTAGTCTGGTTTATTTCACTTAGCACAGTGTCTCTAATTCCATCCATTTATTTTCAGATTACATAATTTCATTCTTCTTTATGGCTGAGTAAAACTCCATTTTACATATGTATACCACATTTTCTTTGTACCTAGGCTGGTTTTATAACTTAGCTATTGTGAATTTGCTCTTATAAACATAGGTATGCATATATTATCATAGTGTACTGATTTTAGATCTTTTGGATAAATACCAAGGAGTGGGATAGCTGGGTGATATGGTGATTCCATTCCTAGTTTTTGAGGATTCTCCATACTGCTTTCCAAAGTAGTTGTATTAATTTTCAGTCCCACCAACATTATATAAGTGCACTTTTCCCCCACATCCTTTCCAGCAATTATTGTTATTTATATTCTTGATAATCTCCATTTTTACTGGAGCAAGATAAAAATCTCAATATAGTTTGGATTTGCATTTCTCTTAATTCCTCAGGATGTCGAATGTATATTCATGTCTGTTGGCCATTTGTGTTTTTTCTTCTGAGAAATGTCGGTTTAGTTCATTTGCCCATCCATTAGTCAGGTTATGTATTTTTTTGAGTTCTTTATATGTTCTGGATATTAATCCCCTGTTGGAAAAATAACTGGAAAAGATCTTTTTATTTTGATGTTGTCCTACTTATTGATTCTTGGTTTTATTTCTTGAACTTCAGGAATTTTTTGAGACATTCAGTGCTTACACTCCTTTTTTTGTTTGAATATTTAAAAAAAAATTTTTTAAATATCTTTATTTATTTGTATGTAGTGCTGAGGATCGAACCCACTGCCTCATGCGTGCTAGGCAAGCACTCTACCACTGAGCCATATCCCCCGCCCTTGAGATTTTCTTTTCCTTTATTAAATTTATTTATTTTTATGTGGTGCTGAAGATCAAACCCAGTGCCTCACACATGCAAGGCAAGTGCTCTACTACTGAGTCACAACCCTATCCCTCATTGTTTTAATATTAATCCTATGTTTGTTTCTAGCAATTTTAGTGTTTCTGGTCTAATTTCCAGGTCTTTGATTCATTTTGAGTTGCTTTTTTTTTTTTAATATTTATTTTTTTAGTTGTAGTTGGACACAATACCTTTATTTGTTTTTGTGTGGTGCTGAGGATCCAACCCAGGGCCTCGCACTTGCTAGGCGAGCATGCTACCACTGAGCCACAACGCTAGCCCTTGAGTTGCTTTTTAATGCAAGGTGAGAGAGAGGGATCTAGTTTCATTCTGCTATATGTGAATTTTTAGTTTTCCCAGCACCATTTGTTAAAAAGGCTGTCTTTTCTCCAACATATGCTTTGGGCACCTTTGTCAAGGATCAAATGACTTAATCTACATCCATTTGTCTCTCTCTTCTATTCCAGTGGTCTTCATGTCTGTTATTATGCTGATACCATACTGTTTGTGTTACTATTGCTCTATAATATAGTTTGAGATTGTCTGCCCACTTTCTCTACTGCTGTATTTTTGAAGGAAATCTGTTGGTCACCTGTTTAATCTCACATCTTAGTTTCTTGTTCTGTTTTAGCCAATATATTGACTCTGTTTCAGCTACCTATACTCTCTCTTCAAATTTTTCTTTTAGTTACGTAGTTTACTTTTACATTGCCAACATTGTCAACATTTATAATCTGTCTTACAACTAACAAAATCTTCTACATTTTGTTCACAAGTTAAATGAGTCAGTTAAAGAAAGACATTCCTAATAATACGGACTAAATTCTCTGTTCTTCTGGTACTATAAGTTGTTAAGGTTTTCTTTCCTTTGGTCTTTGAACCTTTTATATAGTTTGTGCTCCTTTTAGAAATCTTTACTGCTGTTATTATTATTATTATTAATTTCAGTTTGGTTGTTTATCAGACTCATCTACCTTTATTTTTACAGTTTTTAATATCTTCTAAATTGTAGAAATAGATGTAGCAGAATGCACAGATCATTAATATTTGGCAAATATGTTTTCACGAAGTGAACACTTATTTCATAGATGATCACTTGGATCAAGAGTGAAGGTCCTTCAGCATCCTGAAATACCATTTTATGCTTTCTCCCAGCCACTAGGACTCCCTTCTCCCCAAACACAACCACTGTCTTAGCACCACACATTAATTTTGCCTTTTTGTTGTTCAAACTTTATATAAATGGATTCATACAGCTTGTATTCTTTTGTATTTGTTTTCTTTCACACAGCAGGATGTGAGAGTCCTCCATGTATCACACAGCAGTATTTCATTTGTTTTCACTGTTATGTCAGTTTTTCTGTTCTACTGTTGATTTGCCCCCCTAGATTTTGATTATTATGATTTGCTGCTATGAATATTCTTGGAAATGTGGTTTGGTACACATGTATTAAAATTTCGGTTAGGTGTGTGACTAATTGTGGAGTTGGCTAGTTCATATGCACATTCAACTTTAGTAGATAATGGCAACAGTTTTCTATTTGTGTCAGTTTCTAGTTTCACCAACAGGGTATGAGTTCATTTGCTCTACATCCTTGTCAACACTTTGTATAGTCAGTCTCTAATTTTAGCAAATCTGTTGAATGTGTAGTGTTGATATTATGATTTTTTTTAAACTTCATTCTTTTACTGGTTTGTCTAGAGATTGCATCTTGCGTTCTTATTAAAATTTAGTACAAATTATTAATAATACTTTCATCATTTTCCAGAAAATACAGTGACCTTAGCATATTTCTGATTAATTTCTTTTTCTTTCCTGCCTTTGGTGCTTTTTGCATAGTTTAAAATTCTGTGTATGTGTGTTAGTGTTTTAAATAATTGATCCCTTAATTTGCCCACATTTTACTTTTTGTTCTTTCCTTTTTGTGTCATTGTTCTTCCATCTGACATATTTTTCTTCCTGAAGAACTCAATTTCATATTTTCTTATAAGCTTACTGGTGATGGGTTTAGTAGTTTTTACCTGAAAATGTTTTTATTTCACTTTGTTTTTGAGGACTATTTTTGCAGCATATAGAATTCTAGGTTAGTACTCACTTTCCTTAGGCCTTTTGAAGGTGACATTCCACTGTTACCTGGCTTCTGTTATTTCATGTAGTCTTTCATCATTGTGTCTGAAAGGAACTGTGCTTTTTTTTTATTTAATTTTTTTATAGTTTGCAATTAAGCATTGACTTATTTTCTTACCATTCTCTTCTTTCTTAACCTGCCCTAATCTGTTTTTAATTCCTCTTTGTTTATTCTTATTACCATAGCAAATTATTAGTATTATTTCTAAATCTTCACATGATTCTGTCTTTCATTAGCTGAATTGCTTCATGCTTGTTTCCTGTCTATATAATCTAAAAATGCCTCTAAATGTGTCTTCTGATTAGCTTAGATCTCATATATCAGCATACTCTTTCATCCTCATGTCCCCTTGTAACTCTCAAAGTCAATATGAAGACTCGAACTATTATCCCAACCATTCTGTCAGTCTAACCTACTCACACACTTTATTTTTCCTATCAGTGATACCTCCAATCCCCCAGTCACAAAAGTTATTATCATTTTTTATTCATGCATTTCCATTGCCCCCATACCTAAAAGTTAACAGAAACCAGGTCTTTGTAAACCCTCCTTGAACATTTCTCAGATTTCAACTCCCTTCCATTCCTACTTTTACTTTAGCTCAGACTTATCCTATCTCATGTGTATTATATGGCTTGCAATTATATAAGAATTAAGAACTTAACATGTTTATGTTAAGAAAATATTTAAAATCATTATAAGTATAACAAGGTGTTAGAAATGTAAGTTACTGCTGGGCACAGTGGTACACACATCTAATTCCAGCAACTCAGGAGACTGAGGCAGGTCAGTATGAGCAACTTAATGAGATCTTGTCTCAAAATAAATAAAAAGAGCTGGGGATGTATCTCAGTGGTTAAATACCCCAGTATCTAAATAAGTAAGTAAATGTTACTATTCAGTGTACTTTTAGGTATAACTCTTTGATATGAATGTTCTCAACAGGCAATGAACACCAGGGAAAGTGGCAAAGCTTCATCCAGTTTAGGTCTTCAGGATTTTGATTTGCTTCGGGTAATAGGAAGAGGAAGTTATGCCAAAGTACTGTTGGTTAGATTAAAAAAAACAGATCGTATTTATGCGATGAAAGTTGTGAAAAAAGAGCTCGTCAATGATGATGAGGTAAGCACAGTAGAGTTCTACTTCTAAGCTGTTAATCTCCCTCAGAGTACTGTATCAGAGAAAGCCTCAATGTTCATGTTTTATTATTTTGCTGTACCTTTCTTAATATGTTTCAAACAGATTATGTAAGAGATCTTTAGTCTGATTACTGCTAGATTTTTTTTTTAAATAAAAATCAAACCATATATTACCAGAAGTCCTTGAACTTTATAAAAGTTTTCTAAAGCATTGCATAATACTGGAAGGTTAACTAGTGGTGTTTTTCCCTTTTTGTATAAATTTTTGCTTCATGATTATCAGTGCCTCTGATATTTAGCCTTGTTAGTTCATAGTTGAATTTGTGATACTTGAATTGCTAAAGAACAAATTTATCATTAGTTTTGATTATTTAATCTCAGTTTGACGTAGATTTCTTTCATATTTTAATTTAGGATATTGATTGGGTACAGACAGAAAAGCATGTTTTTGAGCAGGCTTCAAATCATCCTTTTCTTGTTGGGCTGCATTCATGCTTTCAGACAGAAAGCAGGTAAGACTGAAAGAGAGTGGGATGAATCCTGGGCTTCATGCATGTTGGTATATTATATAGTAAAACCTGTCTGCTATAATTCATGAAGCAGAAGTCATGGAGAAGGAGAGAAAGTATTATGCTTACAGCTTCCTGCTATTCATAAAATAAGTAGTGACATCAGTTTGCCATTGGTTTGCCATTAGGAAATGACCTGCTTTAGGTGAAAAAGGAAACAGCCAGATTAGAATTATGGCAATAGAAATCCCACCTTTTAAATGTCCCTAGGATTCTAATTTTATTATTTAATGTTTCTTAGAGTTTAACTATGGGGGAAAAAATCTAACTTTTTAACCTTAAATGATAGTCAGAAGTGACTTATCTAGCAAATGTTGAATTGGGATGAGCAGATTACAAGTGTTACAATCTTTTTTTTTTCCTTTTTAAAAAAACTTTATTTATGTATTTATTTTGAGAGAGAGAGATTTTTTTAATATTTATTTTTTAGTTTTCAGTGGACACAATATCTTTATTTTATTTTTTATGTGGTGCTGAGGATTGAACCCAACGCCCCACGCATGCCAGGCGAGTTCGCTACCTCTTGAGCCACATCCCCAGCCCAAACTTTATTTATTTATTTTATGTGGTGCTGAGGATCGAACCTAGTACCTCACACATTCTAGGCAAGGGCTCTACCACTGAGCCACATCCGCAGGCCGCAAGTGTTACAATTTTAGTGTTAGAAGTAGCAGGATATAGAGTTATTATCATGCTGATGTACATTCTGATCTTTTGTACTCTGTATACCCTTTGTTTCCACCAAATCTTTGGCATTTACTTTAAAGATTAAATCATAGAGAATGCTGTCTATATTGTGGCTAGTTAGTGTTTAAAATGTAAAGTTAATACTACCATATTTTGAATTTTGGTTTCATGGTTCTCTCCTGTGTTTTAGATTGTTCTTTGTTATAGAGTATGTAAATGGAGGAGATCTGATGTTTCATATGCAGCGACAAAGAAAACTTCCTGAAGAACATGCCAGGTGGGTTTTTAAAATGTTGTTTATGTTGGGTTTGTTTCAGGACTGCCTGACTTCTCATGTGCAGTAGTTGAAAAAAGTATGTAAATAATTTATTTTGATGCTAACTAGTTCTTTTTAAATCATGTTGTGGCTGAGCTAAGTTAATTTACATAATTTTAAATATGTATTATAATTTGCAGTTTATTTTTGTTTGTTGGCCTTATCAAATGGTACTTTTTATAGCAAGGTCAGATTATATTTTGAATTGTGAACATAGTTTTTGTTCCTTGTTTCTTCAGCTGAATTTGGGGAAACTACCTCTGGTTTTTACTATATTTAAGTGCCAGTTCTGCTTCTATACCATCTTTGCTTTTGTAGGAGGAACTGAAGCAGAGAATAAGTTCAGATTCTCTACAAAATTAAGTAGTTAGAAGGCATGTATTATGTTCCTGTAAAAATTATGATATTGTGGGACTGGGATTGTGGCTCAGCGGTGGAATGCTCACCTAGCATGTGTGAGGCCCTAGGTTCGATCCTCAGCACCACGTAGAAATAAATAAATAAAATAAAGATGTTGTGTCCACCGAAAACTAAAAAATAAATATTTAATTTTAAAAATTGTGATATTGTGCTACCAAGGCACCATAAACCAGCTTGGATGTTTCATTTTCATTATTTAGGCCAGTTTTAGTTATCAGTGAGTTGTAAAGTTTTCAAAAGTTTATTCTTTAATGTTAAATTTTATTATTGTAGAATAGTTTCTTTTCTAAAATCTTAGTATGATTTTTTTGAATAGTCAACTTAATATTTTTTTTCTATTTTATACCTGGCATTGTTTTTTAGTTTTTAAGGATAGTCATTGGTCCCTTAGAGAGGTGATAAAAACTGTAGGAACTCTGATAAGTGTACATTTACACATACAACTTTGCCTCCAGTTGTAGAATTCTGGACTGCGCAAAGTTCATCCAAGGGCCCAAAGTAAACCTCTGTTTAAAATTTTCAAACTGATCAATTATGAAAAATATGAGTTTAAGTTAGACTAGAACTTTTATAATTGTGTTTTGGGCTCAGATATTTTAAAGTGGGAATCTAATTTTGGGCGGGGGTGCGATTTGGGGATTGAACTCAGGGTCATTCAACCACTGAGTCACATCCCTAGCCCTATTTTGTATTTTATTTAGAGGCAGGGTCTCACTGAGTTGCTAATCACCTCGCTGTTGCTGAGGCTGGCTTTCAACTCACCATCCTCCTAACTCATCCTCCTGACTAATTTTTTTGTATTAAAGTACTGGGAGGAGAAAACTGCAGGTGGGAATAGAAGTTCAATACCTTACTCTAGAAATTTATTACAATTTAAAATTTTAAGTCACGTGAATTTTTAAAAAATATTTTTGTTTTATTTGTAAATGGACACAATACCTTTATTATATTTATCTTTATGTGGTGCTGAGGACTGAACCCAGTGCCTTACATGTGCAAGGCAGGCACTCCACCACTGAGCTATAACCCCAGCCCTCATATGATTTATTTTTGAATTTATTTTAGGTTTTATTCTGCGGAAATTAGTCTAGCCTTAAATTATCTTCATGAGCGAGGGATAATTTATAGAGATTTGAAATTAGACAATGTATTATTGGACTCTGAAGGACACATTAAACTCACTGACTATGGCATGTGTAAGGTAAGAAAAATTTTCTAGTTATTAATAAAAAAATGTCTTCTGTAGCTCATAAAGTTGTCTTGGTAAAAAAAATAACTGCATAAAGATGGGAGAGATGATTGCTGCTTTCGGCTGTTTGGAATTCTAGCACAAAGACAAATGTACTTTTTTCCTAATAATTTGCAAAATTCCCATATCTTCTGTATTTTATGTGCTATAAGAGGAGTTAATTTCTTTTCATGATTTATAACTTCTTTTCTGGAAAGTTGTGACATTATTGAAGAAAATTTAGAAATAAAAATTATCTACAATCCCATTACTTGAGCATGACATTTGCATATGACCTCTCAATTTTTGCTATATAGTAGGAGTCTATTTTTTAAATAATGCATGTTCAGAATTTTCCCTGAAGTTTTAACATTTTTATATTTAAATTTTAACTATCTGACACAGAGAATAGTAAAAATCAAATAAGAATTACTCTCAAAGCATATCTTCTTTATTTCTTGTTTTATTTTTGTGACAAGTGTTTCATTTGAAAGTCTGATCTTTTCCCACAAAACATGCAGGGTACCATTTTATTTATTGAAGCAGCTGGTACAAAATTACCCTCACAAGAGTGTAAATGTGTGAGTTGCATTCCCCATTCACTTAATGGAAGCACCACCAGAATCCAGAGATTTCTAAATGCTGACATCACACAAGATAGTCTAATCATATTGAAGATTTAATTTTATTATCTGTTAAGAATAAATTAGAAAATAAGATCTTCACAGACTATATTTGTAGCCTGGTGTGGTGGTACATACCTTTAATTATAGCTACTTGAAAGACTGAGGCAGGAGGATATCAAGTGTGAGCCCCATTCTGGGCAACATAGTGAGACTGTCTCAAAATAAAAAGCAAAACTAATTTTGCTTTTATGGGTAATACTAAAAGCCATTTTTCTTGTGATAATCCTTATAGTATTATATGGATGTTCAGTGATAAATAATTAGAAAGTTTAGTGATTAGAAACCCCTGTGTGCCTTTCAGTCATATTTGTGATACCTTTTTGATTTTTGTGCCATTTTTTCCTCTAGGGAACCCCCCCGACATTTTTAAATAAAAGTGGCAGTAATAATGAAATCTTAGATTACATAAGAAAAATAAAAACTGAACAAAAAATATGAAGAATGTTAACTTTGTTACAAAGTCTGCAAATTAAAACTGACACCTATTTTTGTCTGTCAGATATCGGCCTATAGGTAAAAGAAAATAATGAAATGGGCATTCTCATATGTCTGTGATGTGTATATAAATTATGGTAAGACCCTGGGTTTGTTCAGTCCCCAGTACCAGGGAGGAAAAATTGTTGCATCTGTTTGAAAAGCTGTTGTATGTCGAAAGTACTGTTGGTTAGATTGTGTATTTTGAGTAAATATTTTGGTCTATAAGACCAAATTTTTTATTGTAATTTATGATAAATATTTATGTGACTTTGTAAGTTAAATATTTTTTATTTTATAAGTCATTTAAAGTCAAAAAATCTAACAATATAAAATGTTCATAACATTAAATAAAGCTATAAAGTATTGTCATATTTTATTATATAGCATCAAACACTAATTCTGTTTACTTTTTTATATTTTTAAGTTATTATAACAGTTTTGTTTTACATAAACAATGAGAACATAGAGTATTAAGGCAGGCTGACTTCCTTCCTATTTCATTTTTCCCTTCTTTTCCCTCCTTTCCTCTCTCTCCTTCCCTCTCTTCTTCCTTTTTTCCTTTTGTCTTTTGTTACTTTCATTGAAAAATGAAATTTGTTGGTCATACATCCTCACTCTTTACAAGGATCTTCAATCAAGTTAGTCAGGATCTTTGGTAAACCTCAGAGATTAGCCTGTCTATCTCTCTCTGCTTTTCCCACCTTCTGCAAGAGCTGCTTAGTTTTATTAATGGAAAAGAACACGAGGATAGGAATTTCGTTCAGTGACTTTACTAACAATATTTTGTCTCTTCTTTTTTTTTAATATTTATTTTTTAGGTGTAGTTGGGCACAATACCTTTATTTTATTTATTTATTTTTTTATGTGGTGCCGAGGATTAAACCCAGGGCCTCGCACATGCTAGAACACTCTACCATTGAGCCACACTCCAACCCCTGTCTCTTTCTTACTAGCACATTTACTCCCTTTTGATGTGAAAGTTCATGGGAAATGAACTCTCTTAAAATTTGGATGCTTCTATCTTGTGACTTAGAGTCAGTATTTAAACTTACCTAAAGTCTAACCTCCTGCAAATACTGAGTTAATTTCTTTTGCTGTAACAATTTCTAGATAAACTATAAATGCTAAATTTTTTTTCAGTTAATTCAGAAATACTTCTTTAGGTTTAGTTAACTTAATTTCTTCAGGTTCATACTAGATACCTTTGGAGTACAGAGGATAGTGATTTAAACTTAATATTTTCAGATTTAATATTTGAAATATTTTATGAATATTAATTTTATTGAGTGAAAATTTAGCCATTTATGAATTGAGGTGCCTTTAACTATTTTTTTTTTTTTTTGTCAACAGGGAAATTTTAACAATATCTATGTTGTGCCATAGATAATTTAGCTAATAGGCCTACATTTAGATATTCAGTAAGTGCATGATTTTAGCGTAGCTCTGTTACATGTTACCAGACTGTCTCTTGCTTCTGTTTGTTGTCTGGAAGTGTGTGTCATTTATCATGATAATGTGTGACAAGCCATGTCAATAAAAACAGGGTCGGGTTGTGGCTCAGTGGTAGGACACTTGCCTAGCACATGTGAGACATTGGGTTCAATCCTCAGCACCACATAAAAATAAATAAAATAATGTCCATCTACAACTAAAAAAAATTATAAAAAATAATATAAAACATCTTAAGTCATATTTATAATTATTAGTACATAAAACTAACATGGTCAGGCATAGTGGCGCATGCCTGTAATCCCAGTGGCTTGAGAGGCTGAGGCAGGAAGATTCTGAGTTCAAAGCCGGCATCAGCAACTTAGGTCCTTAGCAACTCAACATGATCCTGTCTCTAAATAAAATGTGAAAAAGGGCTGGGGACATGACTCAGTGGTTAAGCACCCCTGGGTTCAATCCCCAGTACCAAATAAATAAATATGTATATCCCTATTAGAAATAATTTTTAAAAAAATCCTTGGGATAATAACCTGTTACTAAGTATTTCTTGTAGATGTTTATAGTAGTGTTTAGATAGTAGAATAAAATTTGAAGGAAAATATGTATACCATGCCCAGAATATCTCTGGAGGGACGCATAAGAAGCCATGGTTTCATCTGGGAAGCTAAAACTGAATGCATCAAGAACAAGTAATGAGAGGAAGATTTGATTATCAGTATACTTCCCCCACTCCATTGTCAGTTTGGAAGTTTGTTACATGTGATCTAATAGTAGGAAAAGGGTTAAATTCTAGTTACATATATTTAGTTGAATTTCATAATTATTAATAATAGAAAGTCTGTAATTAAGGAACACTTATAAAGTTTAAAACAAAACAAAACAAAACACCACCAACAAAAAGGAGCCAGGCCCAGTGGCACATACCTGTTATCCCTGTGACTCTGGAGGCTAAGGCAGGAAGATCACAAGTTCAAGGCTATCATCACATCAGCAATTTAGGCAGACCCTGTTTCAAAAAAAAAAAAAAAAGGTATGTAGCTTAGTGGTGAGGTGCCTTTGTGTTTAGTCCTCATTTTTTTTTTTTTTATTTTATTTTTTAAGAGAGAGAGAGAGAGAGTTTTTTTAATATTTATTTTTTAGTTTTTGGCGGACACAACATCTTTGTTTGTATGTGGTGCTGAGGATCGAACCCGGGCCGTACATATGCCAGGCGAGCGCGCTACCGCTTGAGCCACATCCCCAGCCCTAGTCCTCTTTTTTTAAAGATGCTTAATTATACATATAATCATATTCTGCCCCTTTTATTTTTAGACTATCTTTTTATTATTTCTTTTTTTTTTCCCCACAGTACTAGGGATCAAACCTGGGGCCTCTTAGGTGCTAGGCAGTCATTATACAATTAAATTATATCCCCAGTCTACTGTTGATTCCTTATTTAGTTGCCTTACCTGAATGACATTGGCTCTTTGAAATACACTGAGATTTCTTTTATGACTTAGTATCTAGTCAGTACCCCATGTGTACTTTAAAAAGATATGATTTCTGTTTTGCATGCAAAGTCTTTCTTTTAATGTTTCTTTCTCCTTTCCCCACACACATATGGACACATATGTTCTATATGTATGTTTTATGTGTGTTTTATTATGTATATATGTATATTAGTTATACATATATATTAGTTATACATATAGTGTATCTACATATATCTAGTTTTCACATTTTTCTCTGCTTACTAATTATTGATCTGTGTAATCTATCATTTCTTTTTTTAAAAAAATAGTTTTTTTAGTTGTAGATGGACGCAACATCTTTATTTTATTTATTTGTTCTTATGTGATGCTGAGGATCGAACCAATACCTCATGTGTGCTCTACCACTGAGCCACAGCCACAACCCTATAATCTATCATTTCTGATATAGATATATTAAAAATCTCATCAAGATTAAAGATTGTGAACTTCAAATAATTTTGTCTATTTTTACTCTTCATTTTGAGGAAAATACAAGTTTGTATTTATTATAACTTCTTGGTGACTGTGCCATTCATTATTGTGCAGTATCCCTAGTTAGGTTTATTAATGTATTTTGCATTAATTTTCACCATCTTATAGCTATTACAATGAGAACCAAAAATCTTGTGCCATAGAAAAAATGAACAACGTTATGTCAACAGTTGTGTCAGGAAGTGCGACTTAAAATGCTGCTTTTCTTCCTGAAATACGATTCATTGTATTCCTATAATTTAAGTTTTTCTGTTAAATTTTAACCTGAATATAAACCATTTTAAATGCATTTTAAAATTCTTAGTTGAACTTACTTTTTAGCAACATCTAATAATCTTTTTTTAAGCTATTTAGTGGCAATCCATAATTTTAATAATACATTTGTTCTAGTGATTATTTAAGGTTAATATATTACTTACTGATGCTGAAGTTATGTGATGGATAAAATAGAGGAGGTGAATTTAAAACAAAATTTTAGATCTTATTCTTCTTTCTTTGTTTTGTTTCATAAAAGGAAGGATTACGGCCAGGAGATACAACCAGCACTTTCTGTGGTACTCCTAATTACATTGCTCCTGAAATTTTAAGAGGAGAAGATTATGGTAATAAATACATAAGTGATATTTCAGCTATTGCTAAGTGGGTGGTTAAATGTGGTAACAAATATATTATAGTAAACTACAGCATTTTAATACTGATCTTACTAATGTAAACTTTCTTGATTCTGTTAAAATATACATGAAGACCCCCAGACTCTGAAATCAGAGAGTAGGACTTGGTGGTCTATAGGGGTACAAATTTAAATAATATTTTATTAATGATGAACACTGAAGAGTGATAGGTACTGTTTTGAGCAGCTTATATTATATTAACTAATTTAATTTTGCAACAACCCTCTGAGGTAAGCATTGTTGATTCCCATTTTACAGATAAAGAAACTGATATACAAAAAGTTTAAATAATATGCCCAATGTCCTAATGACTACATTGTTACAGAGTAAGGGATTCATAACAGCAGCCCTGTGATTCCAGAGTGAGTCATGAACTAGAAGGTTCTCCAGATTTTTGGGGATATTTCCCTCAGAAATCTGTAAGAGGGTAGAAAGACTGGCTGGCTGTCAGGCACCAGAAAATAAATTTTCCTCAAAAAGGATTTGACTTTTTGGGTTCTGGTCCTATGATTTCAGCAAATGTAAAGGGGGATGTGGTACTTTTGACAATTGCTCAGAATATGAATTCAGGAATCTTTAATCAGCTAGCAAAAAAAAAAATCAAATTTTAGACCAAAGAAGCTTATTCTCCAGTGCTATATAATTATATCCTCAAAACAAAATATTAGATAGTGGGCATGAGTCTGAAATTACAACTATATTTGGAAAAAAATATTATGTTTCACTGCCCATAATTTTATATTTTGATGTTCTTTTGGGCACTTACCTTTGATGGTAAGTGATATATTTCTGTAATTCTCAGAACTTACTCAGATAGTTATAATAATTTAGAGTTTACTGTCTCATTGTGTTTATTTTTTTATTATGTGACAAAATATGAACCTCCAATTACTGACTTACAAGCATGCAGAGTGGCTAATTTATTGCTTTAAACTTTCTTTCTGAAGGTTTCAGCGTTGACTGGTGGGCTCTTGGTGTACTAATGTTTGAGATGATGGCAGGAAGGTCTCCGTTTGATATTGTTGGGAGTTCTGATAACCCTGATCAAAACACAGAGGATTATCTCTTCCAAGGTAATTTGCAATACTTTATACAGATTCTTTGTGAATAACCTACTCTAGAGCACAAAGTGTGCTTAGGGTATTACTTTGAATAAGAAAAAGGATAATAATCTGAACAGTATACTCTTTACTTAATGAGATTTTGATTTTTTTTTTAATACATCCTTCCTGCCTCTGTCATCTCCAGTCTCATCTGCAGTTACCTTCTTGTATTCACAATCATTGCAAATGATTCCATTAGCTGATATATCACAAACATATATGGAAGAGGGAATCCTATGGCTAGAGAGGACCATATTCATGAAACCTGAAGCTGAGGATATAAGTTCACAAACATTATGTGGGGCATAGAGTACCAAGAAGATAAGAGGGGTCAGAAGGTGGAGGAGGGGAAGGCTCATGATGGGAAGTACTAAGAATTGAGCATGACGGACAGGCAAAAAGGCCTCCTAACACATAGTCCAAAGTGTGGCCATGGGATCCTGCATTTAATAATTACCAATCACAGAATATGAATAGGCATTTATTATACTAGGAAAGTCAAGCTGAACATGGTGGGACACACCTGTTATACAAGCTACTCAGGAAATTGAGGTAAAAGGATCCCAAAATCAAGACTAGTCTAGACAACTAAACAAGACCTATCTCAAAAGAAAAAATTAAAAGAGCCTAGCATGTTCAAGACCCTGGATTCAATCTCCAGTACAGGAAAAAGAAAGAAAGAAAGAAACCCAAATGGGCCATGGAATATGTGAAAAGACCTTCAACTTCACTAGTATCTAGAGGAATGTATATTAAAATATTAATGATGGGCTTGGGTTGTGGCTCAGTGGCAGAGTGCTTACCTAGCATGTGTGAGGCACTGGTTTGATTCTCAGCACCACATATAAGTAAATAAAGGCCCATCAATAATTAATAAAAATATTTTTTTAAAAATTAATGATCTACCATTTCATACATTTGGCAAAAATTTTAACGTTTGATAACAATCAGTGTCAGCGAAGGTATAAAAAAATTGGAATGCTCAGACGCTGCTGGTGGGAGTAAAAATTGACACAATAGCTTTGGGGAATGATTTGGCATTGTTTAATAAAAGTGATTATTATATGTGAAGCATTTTATAAATATTAACTACTTCAAACTTAATAAAAAATCTTCAAAGTAAGTATTATTTTCCTGGTGAGGAAACTGAGGCACAATAAAGTCATCAAAGAATAAAACATTCTCATAAATGATACTAAAGTGCTTAAATTAGAGGCCATATCCGAGGAGAGAGAGGTAATGGAAGTACAAAAGTGGTTTAGTTGGGTATGTAATATCTTATTTTTATTGTTGCAGTGCCTTAAATATCTCAAAACAAAAACTTAAAAAATCAAAGATATGTAAAGGTTCAACACAATGCTATGATTTTTATCTTTCTAGTTATTTTGGAAAAACAAATTCGCATTCCACGTTCTCTGTCTGTAAAAGCTGCAAGTGTCCTGAAGAGTTTTCTGAACAAGGTAAAATTTGTGTGTAAATATCTTTTGTGTTTTGTTTCTATATAAATCAAACCAGTAAGGAGAAAGAAGCCTAGGCAACTTCCAAACAAACAAGGTATGCAACTTTTTCAGTTATGTCTGTAATACCTCTCTTAACCAAAGAGTAAATGACAGCATTAACTCCTAAGATGATTTTTCTCCTTTCTACTTTGCCAGTGTAATTTACCCCCAGCTACATGTTACTTATGAATTTTTTAATGTATGTTTTATACATGTGTGTGTATATACCATATACTCAGTAAAGGAAGAATTTAATATTTGGAGTTAGCCACAACTGTACTTTAAAATATTTTCCCATTTTTTCTGTTATTATCCACAGAATTTATTCATTATCATGTACTTTTTGAGCACTTGGGCAGTAATATTCCCTATAAATTGTTATATTGAAAACCCTATAATTAGATAAAATTTAGAAGAAATGAAATCCTATCCTAAAAATCTGAACATGATTTAATTGTTGCAGTTTGTGGGCTAGAGAAGTTTTAGGATCTAAGGTTGCAACTTTTGGTAATGATAAATTCTACTTTTAATGAGTATAAGTTGGTGTGCATTTACCTACTAAGATAAACAGGTAAGATAATGGTGAATTTTTTTAATGTTTTGCTTTTATGTTTAGTTTTTAAATATGTATTTATTTTTAATTTTTTAAAACTTTTTAATGTTTTTCTTCTGTGTTTATTTTTTATTTTTATTTATTTATTTTTAATTTTTTAACTAATGATGAATTTTTAATAAAATCAGAAATTGAAGAACTTGTTTTAAATAAATATATTATGTGAGGAAAGATTTAAACTTGAAACCTAATCTTTCATAAAGTGAACAATTGAAAGTGAGAGGGTTAATATGTAAAATAAAATGTTTTTTGTCAAAAAGAAAAACAGGAACATGTTCTCATTCATAGTAATAAATAATCCAAGACTTCATAATTTGTAGACTCCTTTACTTCAGTGATTCAGGTAATGGTTATATCATTGTCTTACTCAAATTATGCTTTGTTGTTTTAATTACAGCATATACCTTTAAAATTGAGCTAAGAATAAACCTATGAAGTTTGGTGGTTTCCATATTTCGATTGACACTAGCCCATGTCAAAGAAACAACTGGTTGCTGCTCAAATGATGCTGCTAGTCTCTTTTCCTCCCACTTTTTCTTAAGCGAGGAGTGGTGACCATTCTCCACTTCAGTGACATAAGAGCACCGAGGAAATCTTACATGTCACAAAGTCTGGATAATTCAACTTGGGTCTAGTATTGTACTTTCTAGAAATAAAAGGTAGATAATTTCAGAAATAAGATATCAATTAATAGGCAGGAAACTGTGGTCACAAAATTGAATTATTTTGAAGCATGACATTTACCTAATTCTTAGAACATTTTTTTCCTACCATAGGACCCAAAGGAACGATTGGGTTGTCATCCTCAAACAGGATTTGCTGATATACAGGGGCATCCATTCTTTCGAAATGTTGATTGGGATATGGTATGTAAATTTTTATTGTTTTCTGTATTAGGTTTTATTGATACCTTGGGCCAAATTTTACTGTCTTAAAAGAGTGTTGAAAAACTCATATGTCACAGTTTTTTAATGTTACTGTATTTTTTTTTTTATATCTTTTTAATTTATTTTTTTAATGTGTTGCTGGGAGCGAATCCAGTACCTCACACATGCTAGGCAAGCACTCTACCACTGAGCTACAACCACGCCCTCATGTATCACAGTTTAAACAACTGAAAACAACTCTCTCAAATGCTTTTTTAAAAATATTATTGAAATGTTAAAAATTAATTTATTTTAATTAGGTATATATGACAGCAGAATGCATTTTAATTCATTGTACACAATTATAGCACAACTTTACATTTCTATGGTTGTACACAATTTAGCATCACATCATATGTGCCTTGGGTCATACATGTACCTTGGGTAGTAATATCCGTCTCAGTTCTACCATCTTTCCTACCCCCTGCACCTTCCCTCCTCTCCCTCCCCTTTGCCCAATCAAAGTTTCTCCATTTTTCCCATACCTCCCCCCCTCCCCGTTACGGATCAGCATCCACTTATCAGAGAGAACATTCGACATTTGTTATTTTGGGATTGGCTTACTTCACTTAGCATGATATTTTCCAACTCCATCCATTTATCTGAAAATATCATTTTATTCTCTTTTAATGCTGAGTAATATTCCATTGTGTATATATACATATATACACCACAGTTTATTTATCCATTCATCTATTGAAGGGCATCTAGGTTGCTTGCACAGTTTAGCTATTGTGAATTGAGCTGCTGTGAACATTGATGTGGCTGTGGTTACTATAGTATGCTGATTTTAAGTCCTTCAGACCAAGGAGTGGGATAGCTGGGTCAAATGGTGGTTTCATTCCAAGTTTTCTAAGGAATCTCCATACTGCTTTCCAGATTGGTTGCACCAATTTGTAGTCCCGCCACCAATGTATGAGTATGCCTTTTCCCCCAGATCCTCACCAACATTTTTTGTTGTGTGTATTCTTGACAACTGCCAATTCGGACTGGTATGAAGATGGAAAGATCTCCCATGTTCTTGGATAGACAAAATTAATATTGTCAAAATGGCCATACTACCCAAACCACTATACAGATTTGGTGTGATTCCAATTAAAATCCTAACATCATTCCTTATAGAAATAGAAAAAGCAATCATGAAATTAATTTGGAAAAATAATAGAGAGACCCAAAATAGCCAAAGCTATCCTGAGCAAGAAGAGTGAAGCAGGAGACATCACAATACCAGACCTTAAACTATACTACAAAGCCATAGTAACAACTGCGTGGTACTGGCACCAAAATAGACATGTAGATTAATGGTACAGAATAGAAGACACAGGGACAAACCCACATAAATATGTTATCTCATACTAGACAAAGGTGCCAAAAACATACAGTGGAGAAAAGATAGCCTCTTCAACAAATGGTGCTGGGATAACTGGAATCCATTTGCAGCAAAATGAAAATAAACCCCTGTCTCTCACCAGCACAGAACTCAACTCAGTGTGGATTAAGGACCTAGGAATTAGTCCAGAGACCCTGTGCCTAATAGAGGAAAAAGTAGGCCCAAATCTTCAATGTGTTGGATTAGGCCCCAACTTCCTTAGCAAGACTCCTAAGGCACAAGAAATAAAATCAAGAATTAATAAACGGACCTGACCCTTTCCAATAAATGAACTGACTCTTTTCCATGAGAGCTCAGTAAGACAGGCAAAGGGAAGAGTAAAATAGAACTTCTCAGCTCTTCCCAGGATACCAAACACCCGTGGCATATAGAGTCAGGAAGACATAAAGCCATGAAAATTATCAGTCTTGCCTTATATTTTATTCAGGATTTATAACACACCATCAGAGTATAAATATTCCTGTGGATATTTAATCTTTGCTTTTTATGGACTGGGATAAACATATTCTCCTCTTATAAAAAGACTCTTGGGAAAAAAATTAATAAATGGGGTGGACTCAAACTAAAAAGCTTCCTCTCAGCATAAGAAACAAGGAGGTGAACACAGAATCTAATTTTGGGAGCAAGCTTTTGCCACACACACGTCAGAGCACTTATCTCCAGGATATATAAAGAACTCAAAAAACAACACCAAAAAAAAACAACCCAATCAATAAATGGGCTAAGGAGCTGAACAGACACTTCTCAGAAGAAGATATACATTCCATCAATAAATATATGAAAAAATGTTCAACATCTTTAGTAATTAGAGAAAATGCAAATCAAAACTACTCCAAGATTTTGTCTCAAGTGCTTTTTTAAAATCTTCGCAACTAAAACAATTATAATATTAATGTAATAAGAACAGGTCATAATATTGTTGAGGCTCATATTAATGTTCAAATTTGCAAATTATGTTCATTGTTGTTGTTATCATATAGAGCAAGGGACAATGGCCTATGCCCATAATCCCAAGGACTTGGGAAGCTAAGACAAGAGAATAGCAAATTTGAGATCAGCCTCAGCAACTTGGTGAGACCCTGTCTCAAACATTTTTTAATCATTTTTTTAAAGGGCTGAGGTTGTAGCTCAATGGTATAGTGTCTCTGGGTTTAATTTCTGGTACCATAAAAAAAAATTATGTATGTATGTATGCATATGTGTGTATGTATATATATCGTGTGTGAATACGTGTGTGTGTGTGTGTGTATTTAGAACTGTGCCTAGGGAAACATCAGAGCAGAGGAAAAATTTAGGTGTGGAATTTTTCTAAGAATGTAGGTTTGAGCTGTCATCTAATATGTCTTTTTAGATGGAACAAAAGCAGGTGGTACCTCCCTTTAAACCAAATATTTCTGGAGAATTTGGCTTGGACAACTTTGATTCTCAGTTTACTAATGAACCTGTACAGCTCACTCCAGATGATGAGTAAGTAATTCTATATACTGAAATATTTTTAAAATTCTTTGAAAACCCATTTTTAATGGTTACACAATGTTTTATTATCAGATTATACTATAATTCATGTAGCCAGTAGGTTACTGGATATTTGAACTCATTATATATTATCAACTATAATAGTAACTGTCATTATTCTTTCTTTGCTTTACATGCATTATCCTAATTCTCACAACAACCTTGTAAACTAGGTATTGTCATCTTCATTTTACAGATGAGGAAACCGAGACTCAGAGAGGTTAAGCAAAGTTACACAGCTGTCAGGTGGCAGAGTCAGGATTCAGACCCAGATCTGACTGACTGAGGCCTCTGCTCTTTCCACTGTGCTGCACTGTTCCCCATTTTGATGATGAGCATCTTTGTCTGGGTTTCTGTTACTTTAAAAAAATTATACCATTATCAAATTTAGCCAGCAGTGATCCAGTGTTTTTTTTTTGTTTTGTTTTTGTTTATGTTGCATCTTTTAAAAATATAGGTTAGAATAATTTGTGGACATTTTGATCATTTAGCTGTCATTACAGATTCATTCTCTGTAAACTCAAGGAGGCCCATTTGGTTGGTAGTCACTTCACTTATATCTTCATTCTTATCATGTTCTTCACAGCAGCTGTTCCAAATGGTTTATATTTTTTAGAAGGCTTCATTCCTACCCCTATCTCTATCACTCTTAATGGATTAACCTTGCCTTAAGTTGACTTCAGTAATTTAGACCTCTCTGGTTTAAGTTTGCTCCCTTTTCAGCAGTGTCTAGATCACCTTATCTCAGGATTGCTCTCCACTTTTCTCAGCCTTTTTCTTGTTCCATCCTCTTGGAAGGCCCTGTTTTGTGAGGGATGCTCCTTCTGTTTTCCTAGACTTATTTTCTTAGTTGCTTCCGGGATTTCATTTTGTCAGTTACCTAACTGCTCCACCTTTGATTTGTATATTTCTAGTTTATTTCCCTCTACCTACAGACTTGCTCAGGTATCCTGATTTTACCCCTAAATCATAACCCCTCTTTGAACCAGAATACTTTTTTTTCATATTTTCTTTTCAAACATTTAAAAAGAATAATTAATGAATGCTCATGGTGAAAGAAAAATAAACAAGCAGTATCTCTGTCTCTTCAGAGTAGTCAATAGAGGTTGTCTTTGTACTTTCTTGCTGCCAACAAGTCAAATTGACATCTTAATTTCTAAATTACAAAGCACTTTTTGGTCAGTCTTCATCTATCCTGATATCTATAAGGTACTTGAAACTCAGAGCCTTGCCTTAGGTAGTGCTGCCCACGCTGGTTTTGCTTCATCTCAGCAACTACTTATTTGTCATATTTTTTCCTTTCCCTTTGAGACCAGGCTGCTCCATGGTTCTATGTTAGTCTGGCTGGGCACAAATAACCGAACCGCCACAAAGCCTTGTAGGTTCAAACAGCAACTCTTTATTCCCAAACTCTCACTGGCACTCTACACACACTTCCCGGGAACACACTCCCTCCACTGGGTTCCATGAGATGAGAACTCAACCCGGGAACTCCAAAGTAGCAGGCGCCTGAGGCAGCAGCATCTGCCCTAATCCAAGCAGAATCCGCCCTAGTCCTGGAGGATCTGCCCTAATCCCAGAGCAGGGTCACCTTTCAACCATTCCCTCTAGCAAAATGCCAGGCGTCCATTCCGACTAAACTGTGGCTCTCAACATCTTCCCCCGCTTCTGTTTAATTAAACAACAAGCATGTGGCTTAGGGACAGTGCCTGTCTTAGGTTGTCCAATACTACATATGGTCCTTACCGGTCATCGGATGAGCTGACCTCAAGGCGTCAGCCTCCTGTCTTAGGTTGGTACCATTGTAATTGGATCTTACCTGTCATTGGCTACTGGTCCAGCATACAGCCATACTTGTGGATAGGCCTTTGCACCAGTGGGGGGGTGAAGTTCTTTGCCTCACCTCTGTTGGCTCCCAAATTTGGCCTTGGTACCAGTGGGGGGGCGGTGAGGTTCTTTGCCTCACCTCTGTTGGCCCCCAAATTTTAGACCATCACAAGCAGAAAGGGAGGAGGATGCAAAATGCCATGGCACCAAGCCAAATGATGGCTCTTTTTGGAAAAATTGTACCACCGATGACACCATCAGCAAAGATACCCCAGCACTACCGCAATTCACTGCACCAACAGATAGTTCACAATGCATACAAGTGATACATAGTCCAGGCAAGTTCTGCAAGCAGTTTAAAGCAGAGGAATCTGCCGCAGTCTGGCTGGGCACAAAATCACGAGCCACCACACAGCTTGTAGATTCAAATAGCAACTCTTTATTCCCGAACTCACACCAGCCGTCTACAATCACGTTCTGGGGAAATCCACGTTCTCTGCCCAAATTCACCTCCACTGGGCTTCTATCTCCCAAAAAATACTGTCTGAATCCCGTGAGAACTCAAGGGGAACTCAGGCAGCAGGATACGCCCTATTCCCAGCAGGAATAATCTTAAACCTGGAACGCCCTAAACCCGATTATCCTAAACCGGGAACACCCTAATCCGCCCTGGTCCTTGAGCAAGGTCACCTACATGCAATGTCACTGCAAAATGTCCTATTTCCATGAGTCCTTCCACTAAGCAACATGGGGTACGCTGGCAAGGAAATTGTCATACCTACTTGGCTAATGGCTCCCAGCAGGAATCCATTAATATGTCCATTTCCTCCCAAAGTAAATCAACTCCTTGATTGAGCATCACTTGTTGAATTATTATTCATTGATGCATCAGTTTATGCAGTTTACTGTGATAGCTATCGAAGAAACTGTAGTTTGGTTTTATCTTTGTCTTCACCGGCACTGGGATGAAGATAGGAATTCTGGCAATGATGGCTAAAAAAAATTATGTAACATTCCTGCAGGCACTAAAAAAAAAGCAATTTTCTAAACAATTTACATTATCCTGAACGGAATTATTAAATATAATGAAAAGTAAAGGTAAAAGTAAACAAACAGATCTGTTAACCTCCTTTTTTGTTCACATATTAAAACAATCCTCAACTGCTGTTTACCCAGTTTAAATTAAACCATTTAAATACGTGAATTAAAAAAAAAATATTCGGATCCATTTTTTCCATGAGCGCTCCTCATATATATGGACATATGCACATACAGACATACAACACAAAAGTGTGCACACATAACATACAACACATAAGACAATAGTAAAGGCCTTGTAGCTTTACACAGGCGAAATCTCCATTGCAATGTTTAAAAACTCCACAGTCAAAAAATAGAACTGATCAGTAAAACATTAACCTAGGTCTGTATGAGCTCAAAAAATAAAATAGAACTTCATGATGTGGGAAAAGGCAATAATAAAATAGATATTGAAAAAAAGCATCCTGGTTACCACCTGGGTTTGACTCTTCTTATGATATCCCATCCTTCTTCCTGTAACTTGCATATGGGTTTGAAGGTATTCCCACAAGCAAGCCCCAAGGTTTTTTACATTTGAAATAGGCTTTAATGATGTTCATTATTCATTAGACTCCAGGTGTGGGAGAATCACTGTCACAGATGTAAGAATAGCCAAACTGGAGTTCTGAATATCAGCTGTTATGGATTTGAGCCAAATCATCTTCTTTTTGGTCTGTAGAAATCGCTTTAGTTAATCTCTCTGGAATCCAAATCGGCTGCTGTTCTCCCTGTGGAAACACACAAACAGACCCCCGACTCCAGACAATCACTGGGTCAGGACGTTTCCATTGTCCTGTTAGAATATCCTTCCAAAGTACCTTGGACTTATGTTCATTTTTTTGGACACACATGCCTTTCCGCAGCACTAAGCCCTGATGAATCCAAATTTAAAAAGTTTAGAGTAAAAAGGGTTATTTTAAGTTTATCTTTGGGGGATATATACCCCTTTCCAATTCCCTCTTTTTGCTTTAATAAGTACATTTTAATAGTTTGATGAGCTCTTTCAACTATGCCTTGTTCCTGTGGATTGTATGGGATTCCTGTTAAGTAAAACATTAACTGATTTTTCTTCAGGGATGATGTTCTAAAATATCCTATATGCATCCTTTGGAAATTTAAAGATCCTTTTAAATTCAAGTCTTCCAAAAGCATTTTGCCTTAGATTTTAGAATTACTTTAGTCCTCTTAATTTTTTGATGTGGTTTTAAACCAATTTCCTTCTAGTTTAATGTTTTCTAAATTGGCTCTTGTCTATAAATTTTAACAGCCTCATCTGAGACTTCTAATTTCTGCACCACCAGAAATTAAAGTTGATGGGCTTTTTGAAAAAATTACTAATAATCTCCTTATTCTTTTATTTTATCTAATATTTGACTTTAAACTTCTCTCTTTTACCTTTTTCTATCTTGAATGTCTGTATCTAATAGTTGTCTTAGCTTTTTGTATTTTTTATCTGAAATATCTTTATTTGACATTTTTAAACATTTTTTATCTTGTTTCTATCTTCTAGTTTTTTTCTAAGGTTTGTACATTTACTCTTAGTTGCTTTTTTTCCTCCTAGTTTTTTTGTTTGTTTGTTTCCTATTTTGTGGGTTTAAAATTTTTGTCTTCCTGCATCTTTTCTCTTTCTACATCTTCTCTATCTTTTTTTTACCTTTCTGTACTTCTGTCTTTAAAGTTTTCCACTTCAAATTTTTAATCTTCTTTATCCAAATATCTTTTATCCTATTATCTTCCCATTTTCATTTTTTTTTTTTAAGTAATGCTTTTAAGATTAACTAGGCTTCGAATGATGCAATCTTTCCTCCACCATGAAGGCATCTTAACCACCTTCAATTTAACCTTTTAAAGCCTTTTGTAACTTACTTAGACATTTTACAACTTTTTATTTTACCACAAAAAGATTATCTCATCTAGAAACATTTCTTTTTTCTTTAACCTTTTATATTAAAATATATTTCCACATCTTGAATCTTTTTATATCTCTTTTCTAGCCGTTAACCCTTATAAAATTTCTGATTTAGACAAATTACTCCACTTTAATGAGATGAAATACTTTCATGTTTTTTTTATGGTACTATAATACTATAATTGAAACCCAACTGAAACTTCTTATACTCTTTGTATATAAATTACACCTGATAGAATCTTAACTCTTAGTAACCTTGTTTCAGCAAAGACACAGACACAAAGCAATATTAAACTTTTTTTCCATTTACCAATTTATGAAAACACACATAATGTTTAAATATATTACCTTATGGAAGTTAATAAGTAAAGAGTACTTGATTTTATATTTAGTGGTTGATGTTTCAACACTTTAGCTTTGTAAATTAATCAGATGTCTGTAAAAACCAAGATCTTAGACAAGTGTAGTAAACAGAATTAGCCATCTCTTTCTTGTTGAAGAAAAATCTTTTTACAGGATACCATGATGGTCCCATTGTGATATATTTAACAACTCCTCTTTAAAAAGCCATGGGCTACATTTTTGTATTGTATCAACATATGTCCTAACTGTTCTTGGTCTTACTGGGATGCCTCCTTCCTCTAACAATTTCTCTTCCTCAGGGGCGAACAACTTCAAACTTTGAGCCAACCATTTTCCCCAGTTTGCCTGAGAAAGTTCTAGGGACAGGCAACTTGAAATAAAAACAAAATAAATCAAAACAAGAACACATTGTTTTTTGAAATGGTCACCCTTTTTTTTGCTCTTCCTCGGGGGCGAGCAATTTCACTTACCTCCAAGCTTCAGGCGTTCCCCATATGGGCCACCAAATGCCGCAATCTGGCTGGGCACAAATAACCGAGCCGACACAAAGCCTTGTAGGTTCAAACAGCAACTCTTTATTCCAGAACTCTCACTGGCACTCTACACACACTTCCCGGGAACACATTCCCTGCACCGGCTCCGCGGGCTCCGTGTGCCAATTCTCACGGAACCCCGTGAGAACTCAACGGGAACTCCAAAGTAGCGGGCGCCCAAGGCAGCAGCATCTGCCCTAATCCAAGCAGGATCCGCCCTAATCCACCCCCCCAGGATCCGCCCTAATCCCGGAGCAGGGTCACCTGGAGCAGGGTCACCTTTCAACCATTCCCTCTAGCAAAATGCCAGGCATCATTCCTACTAAACTGTGCCTCTCAACATATGATACCCTTTGCTCTATGCAGTATGTACCTTGGAGATTTCAGCTAGCCTTGTAGCATGGATACTAGCTTTTTAAAAGACTCCTAGCTAAATTAACAAATGACTATTAAGCAAAAGGCACTATTCTAAGTACTATATATTCAGTGATAACCAAACAGTTCAATCTCACAAAAAGCTTCTTATCTACTAGAAGAGAGAGAGAGGTAGCATATCATTCTGTGGCAGCATTGTGTATTGGAAAGAACACTGGATTTAATCAAAAGATAGGAGTTTGAATCCCGATACCACCTTTTACCAACTGGGTAACCTTGGGTATGAATTGCATAACTTCTCTGAGCCTGCTTTTTCTCAAATTGTCTACCTCACAAGGTTACTGTGAAGAATAAATGAGTGATGGTCTCTGAAGCATCTAGCCCCTGCCCTGATCTCTCTTCCTGAGCTGCATTTCCATCTACATCTCCCCAGTTTGTCAGATGTCAAAATATATCAAAGTCAAAAAAATAATGAATTTTTATGGCCTCTTTTTCTGTTATTACCAATAAATTCTGTGTTATTTACTGATTTCTACTCACTGTGCCTCCCATGTTTTCTTGTCATTCCAATTCAAAATGTCAGTGATTGTTGCCTCCTCTTTTTCCTTAACAGATTATGTAATACTGCATTACTAAATCTCTGTTTTTCCTTTGCTTCATCACTTGCCTTTTCTCATTCCATTTCCATAACCCTCCAGTTCCAGTGTTACTCAAGTCATACCAAGAGTTGTACCAGCTTCCTAATTGAGCTCCTTCACACCTTTACTATGCAGCCTATTCTTATTATTTCGCCCCATGAAATACCATTCCAATTCTCAAGCCCTTTAATCAGCAGCCTTCATTAATTCCTGCATTGCCAGATAACATCTATTCTCTTGGCTAGCATTGAAAGCTTTCCCCATCCGCTCCAGCTTGACTCTAGCCATCTCTCTCATTTAACAAATGACATTCTGATCAATCTCAGTTACTTACCATTCCCTGGTAGTGAACATCTTTGAGCTCTCTTTGACTTTCCCTGCTCATGCTTATATATTCCTCCATTGTTTTTACTTACTGAACTTTTCCCATCTTTCAGATGTGAAATATAAAATACAACTAGATCTTTGCTAAATCAAGGCAAAACTCCTAATGTAAACATCACTGACTTTTCAATCTCACCATTGTCTTCCTTCCAGCATCATTTGCCATTTAACAACTTTCTATTGCTGTGCACCAGCTCTAATAAATTACTTGCCTTTTTCCAGACCTACCATTATCTTGCATAATTCCATTTATTAGTGTGTGTAGGATGAATGCTGCCGTCCTTGATTTCTTCAATTAGAAGTCACCTCTTTCTTTAGAACTATGGCTAGAATAGGACTTTGCTTATCATGCATGAAATTTAACAGGTACTGCTTTCTCTCATGGCTTTCCAGTGTATTGATTTACCCCTGCCTCTTTAAAGGAGGGGGTTGTACCTTCTATAACTTTGTGCTCTGTGGTGCATTATGTATGTTTAGGTATTAAAATGTTTGATAGTATTACTGTTAAGGTATATTAAACTAGAAACCCAGTGTAACTGAATGCCAACCTCTGCCCTCTGTGACCCAATTTCTCCCTGTGGTGTTCTCTCCTTATTCCAGGTCTCTCAATGTACTTGTTCCTATTGCCTTTTCCTTTTGGCTAACTTCTTCTGGGCCTTCTCTTCACCATCTTCCATCTTGCTGTTGAGGTGACTACTAAACTGGATGCTAATTCAGATCTGAATGTTCACCTTAATTAAGAATGTTGTTCAGGTCAAAAGTTTAAGATTAATTGGAGTTGTGATAACTTGTACTTTTTTATTCCCAGTCCAATTTTGAACTACCTTTTGGCTCTGAGTCTGCTTGTGGGATTATTAGCCTTTTTTTTTTTTTTTTTGGTTTTAGTACTCTTCTAGAAATGTTTTGGGATGAATCTAAGAACTTATAGATTTTTTCCACAATGTATATAATTAGTCCTATGTTTTATATTTAAATTTTATCATTTAAATTAAAGGTTGAAAATCTTATGATGAAAATAAATTTATTTTTCTTTTAACAGTGACATTGTGAGGAAGATTGATCAGTCTGAATTTGAAGGTTTTGAGTATATCAATCCTCTTTTGATGTCTGCAGAAGAATGTGTCTGATCCTCATTTTTCAACTGTGCTTTCTCCTTATGTTGCCATTTAATGCATGGATAAGCTTGTTACCAGCCTGGATACAACTAACCATTTTATATTTGCCACCCCTCCCCCCCCCCAAAAAAAAACAACAATATCTTATAGACTATAAGAATAAATTTATTACATTTAAATATAACTGAAAAAAAATAAAACTAGCTTTCAGACAATCATGTCAAAATTTAGTTGGATTGAATCTTCAGAGGCCGGATGAGTAATGAAATTACCTTTTTAATTTAAAGGAAATAACCACTATTTTAAAACAAATTATCTGTTGCATTAAGGCACATAGTGGGATTACATCATAAGCTCCTCACAATTTTCGTCATTCTCTGTTAATTTGGAATAAAAGGTTAATTCAAAATGCAGCAAATTTTATATTACCTGTTAGTTTCAGAGTTCTTTATGTTTAACATTCAACTATAAGATTTCTCGTTGTCTTGGATAATTATTAATTTTTAAGGCAACAATTACTAAATTGGTAATAAAAGACATTTCCTTAGAATTGGGCATTACAGATTCCTCTAAGTTAAAAAGTAGACATATTAAGAATCAGATTCCAAATCTTTAGCTATTTTTGAAACACTGGCACAAATGATTTTTAATTTTATTTTTTTTAACAATAAGAGATAGTTTTTGAGCTTATCCTTTTAGTGAAAACTTAATGTTAATATATGTGTTCAAAAGACACAGAATGCAGTCAAATGGAAAACTGCTAGGTATATAGAAAGGAAAATAATAGACATTTAAAGTAGATACAGAAAAGTGCAATGGTAATATTTATTTCTTACTGGAGAGTGAATCCTGCAGTTATTCTTTATGATCTAAATAATGAGGAGGCACTCATTTGTTACCAAACTTGTAAAAGCATTCCATGTATTCGGTGGAGGCAGAATGTATAATATTTGTTCCTTATTTAGTATATAGGAAATTAATTTATCTTCTAAGTAGAATGTCTTAACTTCACTAGTTTCTTCCCCCAAAACCACATTTTTGGTACTTTTGGGTCATGTTTATGGAATCCTCAATAAAATACAGAATAAAAAGAAACCAGTAAACATGAATAAATGTTTAGAGCCACACATACACTCAAACTTATCACAGTTCTCTCTCTTTAACTGAGTTTTTATTTAGTAACTAATACATGTAATACAAAGTAGAATACATTTCAGGAGCAGAGTTTTTCATATTTTTTTATTAATATTGGTGTTTAGCAACTTAGTATTTGAAGAGGTGCCAGATATAGCATCCTTCTGTTGTTTATTTTAAATATCATTTTTATGAAAAGGGGCTTTAAAAAAGTAACCATAATCATCTAAATAAATACCTGTCCAATCTTGGTAAAATGTAATTTTAGGGAAGCTATCTAATTTTAATTTTTTTTAATTTAGAATGATTTAAAATTTATAGACATTTAATAAATTTCTCTGTCTCTGAATACTACATTTCATTAGAAATGTAATATTCCAGTTTTTGGTCACACATTCTCCTTTCTTCAAATAAATAAGTCTGAAAGCAGTGAAAACCTCAAAGGAAAATGTTTATATACATTTGCATGTTCATTTGAGAGGTGTTTATGTTTCTCTTAATACCTGAAACTTGTTTTAAAACAAAAATCAGTATTCACTTCATGTCATAAACTTATATAGGGAATTCTGACATATTGCACCAGAATGTTCATGGTCTTGCTTTTAAGTGGTGCTGTTTCCCTTAGGGAAGCTTAGAATGTGGCATTATCACCCAGGGAGTTTGTTTAAAATGCAGGGGCCAACTTAGAATTTTGTTGGGCCTTTGGACCTCATTTTGAAAAATAATTTCTTCAAATTTTTTTTTGTCCTGTGGTTAAATATTAGAAAGAGCATTCCTTGTAAATAAAGAGCAAACGGCAAGGTATAACCTGTCTACATTTTTAAACAAATTATAAATGAATGATTTCAAGTTAGGTATCTTCCCCACCTTGCCTGGCAACAAAAGCTATCAGTTTTCTACCAATAATACACAAAGGATGAGCATTTTTCTATGATATAGTTTTAACCATTATTCAGGGTAATCTTTTATTTTAAAATCCTTTTTTAACTAATAAGATTTACTGTGTATATTTTATACAGAATTACATTACAAATATTTTTAATTGTGTTATTTTTTTTGCAGTCTTTTAAGTGCCATGCCGGTTCTTTTTGTGTTATGTAGAATTTCTCTCAAAATACTCACCAGGGGAATCAGGCAGTGGATAGTCAGAATGGTTGGTGTATTTGTGTTCTAGGAAATAATTCATTTTGCATAAGCATGTGGTCAGATCATTTTATGCATATGCAGCCTAGATTGGACATCAGGTATATTCTGCTCATTCTGTGCCGGTACAATTACTTTATCAATTTGTTTTGTTTTGACTTTTGTCATGTAGAGTACTGCCTTGGTCATCATAATGTAATCTGTATTTGTATACCTTTTTTTTTTTTACATTAAAAACTTCAAATAAAATATGATACCCATAAAAAGTGGATTGTTTTTATCATGCACCATGTCAAAAATTTGTGTCAGAATAAGGTGTGTTAAAATGTGCTCAAGAAAACAAAATGAAAATTTTAGAGTTTGGAATTTTTGCTATAATTAAAATAGAGTCCAGTAGTGCCTATGCTATAGTATAGACATTCACTCATCAATTAAAGTATTCCCTAGTGTATTTTTTTATTTTATTTTTTAGTTCTAGGTGGACACAATATCTTTATTTTGTTTTTATGTGGTGCTGAGAATCGAACCCAGTGCCTCACACACTAGGCAAGCGCGCTACCACTTGAGCCACATCCCCAGCCCCTCTAGTGTATTTTTAACCTATTCTTCCTTTTTTCTCTTTCGTTGGAAAATAATTATTAAGAAACAGGCTGGGGCTGGGGCTATAGCTCAGTTGCAGAGCGTTTGCCCAGCATGTGTGAGGCACTGGTTCTTTTTTGTTTGTTTTGTTTTGTTTTTAATATTTTTTAGTTGTGGTTGGACACAATATCTTTATTTTATTTATTTATTTTTATGTGGTGCTGAGGATTGAACCCAGCGCCTAGGCGAGCACTTTACCTCTGAGCCACAACCCCAGCCGCAGGGGCACTGGTTTTGATCATTAGTACTGCATAAAAATAAATAAATGAATAAATAAACAATTATTTAAAAAGAAAAGAAATCAGCTGAATAGAACATTTTACTTGGCTTGATTGATTGATTTTACTGAGGATTGAATCCAGGGGCTCCTTACCACAGAACTACATCCCAGTCTTTTTAAAAGTTCTTATTTTTTACTTTGAGACAGGGTCACATTAAGTTGCTGAGTCTGGCCTTGAATTTGCAGTCCTCTTGCCTCAGTCTTTCAGATTACTGGGATTATAGGCATGCACCACTGTACCTGGCTTAACTGGCTTTAAAACTGAAGCAAATTATATTGTTATGTGCATGTACAAATATGTAACAACAAATGCCACTGTTATATACAACTATCATGTGCCAGTAAAAATGGGGGAAAATGTTACATCATAGTCTAGGATGAAAAAAACTGAAGCCGATTTAAACAGATGTTTCCCATATTATGTTCTACAGTGATCTACTCTGTTCTAGACGTCTGGAACTTTCTCAGTAATAGTTCTGTCCACATATAAACAAGTGTAAGTATGGTGTGCCATATTTAATCTTTTAACCTAGTGGTGTCTTCCCTTCATAAGGAGAATGATGTCTTAAGTGCCTTTTCTTTTTTATTGTCAAAGAGCAGGAGCCTGTACATTAAAACCACTCCTGTTGGGCTGGGGGTATAGCTCAGTTGGTAGAGTGCTTTCCTTGCATGCATGAGGCCCTGGGTTCAATCCCCAGCACCAAAACAACAACAACAACAAAAAAAAACACTCCTGTCTTCTCTATTATTTTACTCTAATTTCAACTCTTGCTTAAAATGGAGTTAGAGGCAGTATTAATGAGGTATTGTCTATACTATTCCCTATATCACATCATAAATTTAATTGTTTTCTGTGAGTTAGTAAAACCCCAAAACAGCCCAAAGAGGAACTTGAAGTTTCACGCAAATTTTGGATTGAAGCCTTTAGTCACTGTGGCAACCTGTTTCTCCCTGAAAGGTAAAACCAGTCTACAGTCCTGGATATTGAACAGCTTGGTTTCTGGACAACACCCAGCACTGAGTCATTTGACCTTCTGATGATCTTTTGTAGATTTACTCTCCTCTGCTGTGGTACTTACGGATTGGTTAAGAACCAGATAGTCTGAGTAGTTTGTATCCAGAGTTTATTGTTTCAGAATATACTGTAACTTGTTACCACTGTGCTAAATAACACTAATAAAAAAACTGAACCTCTGCCATTGACATTCGAGATAGAAAAGCAGACATACTGAGAAACATTCATTTCTACAACTAGTCCAATAATAAAAGCCAAATAAATGCAGTAGAATATATGTTAAGTGCTCATAACAGGTTATGAGCTTTACCAATGAAACTTGAATGAGTTTTACATAACATTCTTTTCTCATTGATCCATGCTAGACATTTTTCAGGCTTATGGTAGATTCCATGAAGCTTTCTGAGTTCATAAAAACACCCTAAGAATAAATCTTAGTGCGTGTGTTCTCCCCCCGCCCCCCATATACACCCACACTATAAGATTGTTTTGGGTTATGTGCTGAAAAATATGAATTGGGTTTTACATAGGAATGGGAGTACAAACTGGTGCTTCTGGTTAGATTATTTATAATCCATGGCTGAAATTATTAAGGTGAATCTGGCTCAGGATGTGAAGTATTGCAGTGCAATTCATTTTTATGTAGCAATTTGTGCTTTACTGGTGTTAGCATTGTATCTTTACTCCGATTGCTATTTTTAATATTTTTGTTGGAGAAACAAATAACAAATATCTAAGAATTAAGTAGCCATTTAGTATGATCTTTTACAGAATATTTGAAAGCCCAAAACCTATGCCAGGTGGATTTACTAGACTTCAGAGTTTGTTAGCTCAGATTTACAGCAAGAGTTAGCTGGTCAGAAGCAAATTCTAACTATAAGAAAGCTTGTTGAAAGGCTCTAGCAAAACCTTTGATATATTAGATGCTTTGTTTTTTTCCATAAAAGGGAAGTACTGAGTATTTTCTAGAGATAGTGTCTTGGCCTGATTTAAAATTTAAATGCTATAAACTATCTACAATGTGGGTGGTTTGGTGACTTTTTTATATTATTCATAATATTTTTAGGAGTAAAATTACGTAATTAGGAAGTTAAGTGCTACAGAAATCTAACTTATTTTATGCCCTACAGAATTTTTTTTTCTATCTTTCTTAAAAAGGGTCTTGCTGTTTTGTCCAGGCTGGTCTTGAACTTCTGGGTTCAAGGTATCTTCCTGCCTCAGACTCCTAGAAGTAGATGGTACTACTGCACCTGGCTTACAGAAAATTTTTTAAGTGAATTTTTTCTAGTTCCTAAATTTTTATTTAAAAATTTATGGATCACTAAAGGATGTGCATTTGTAAACAGTTTGACTCAACTTTACTCAGTTTAAAGCTGTTAATTTACTGATAGATCTGAATCAGTGTGCCAAAGACTTGATATTTTTCTAAATTATTTTTTTCTTTTTTTATTGGCACATTATAATTATACATGATGGTGGGATTTGTTATAATGTATTCATACATGCACACAATAAAACCTAAATTGTTCTTACTTTTTTTCAAACGTGTTTATAGGGGGCTTTTCAATGTGTCTAACACTGATAATTCTGTAGGATCTGTAAAAGTGCCATCTTAAGGAATTTTTTTTTCATAATACCTTTATTTTATTTATTTATTTTTATGTGGTGCTGAGGATTGAACCCAGTGCCTCGAATGTACTGGGTAAGCACTCCACCACTGAGCCTTAACCCCAGCCCAAGGAATTTTTTAATGTATATAAAAAGTAATAAATGTATTCCAGAAAAGTTGGCTTAAATTTAAAAAAAGATCCTCTGTGTGTATCATTCCTTTATGTAGGAGACATTTCCTATGATTAAAATAAAAATGTTCTTTCCCCAGTAGTGTTGTCTGGGTGAGTGAGCAGTAGGTGGGGGCAGACAGCAGTAGGCCTGGTTCTCTCATAAGGGTGATTCTCTGCTTCACCACCACCAGGGGCCACTCTTACTGTAATGAAGGTCATAGTTACCAGCATCTTAGCCCACTGGAGGAGCCAGATATTCACTGTAGATACAGATACCAAGAAGTTCCTGGATTTTATCAGTGCTGATGATGTATATTTTTATTTTACAGAACTACTACAAGTCAATGTGCCATTCGAATTGCTCTTCAGAAGGAAATCACTGTTATCTGGGAGTCCAGCAAGTCTTTTAATAGAATTGCTTTGCCCTCTAGCCATTTTGAAAATTATAACTTTCATATTGCTCAACACAAATGAGAGCCTACTATGTGCCAGACGCTGGGGATATAGGAAGCCAGAGTATAACCATGTCATGTTCCATCTTTGAAGAATACATTTAGTTGAATGTAGAGTTGATTTTGACCATTTAAACATGGAGAAATTTGATTAAAACAAATAAAAAGTTATCCACATTTAATTGTGAACATTCCATATGTTGCATAGCACTAAATTAGTGTCATTTTCAGATTTAACTCATGACTTTGCAGACTCTCATATTATTCATTAAAAACATGATTTTGGAAGAGTTTTAACTGTGTTACTATTTCATAAACATTGAACATTGTTGTCCTGGAAGTAAATAGTGAAAATCATCTGTTTGCCAAGAAAAGACATCTTTCCTTATAATCCTGCTGAAACTTCCACCATTCCTTAATCCCAGGTAGTTATTTACTTCACTGCCCAAAATAACTGACTGTACAACATGCCATAAATTGCATTAAACAACCTCACACCTTCTCCTTCACAAGTTTTTCATCAACAAGTTTTTTAGGTTTGTTGTGTTGTTGACACCACTTTATAATCCATGCATTGTCACTTTGTAGTAAGAGTAACTAGTAAACATGAAATCTGTTCACTTACAAAGTATTCTTGGAAGTATAAGAATTTTTCTCTTTTGGATTTTAAAATAGTAATAGCTGTAGTGAGTCCTGATGTTTTTAACTTCTGTTTGATTTTTAGAAATGCTAAAGGCATTTAAGTTTCCCAAAGGAAATTGCTTCTCATGTCAGATCCACCCAAATAGGATTATTAT